ATCGTATATCCATTAGAGTTCGTAGTCCGATTGACCAATTAACTTTTTTCAATTAATTAATCTTTATGAAAAGTATTGGTTGAGATAAAAAAGCCAGTGCCACGAGCGGGATTCGAACCCATGACGTTCGGCTAAATACGCTGCTGCTCTACCTCTTGAGCTATCATGACTTCGATCCACTCGGACACCAACTTCCCATCCCAACCTCACCTTTCGAATTTTCCCTCCTTTTTTCACTCTGAGTGGATCGAAGTCATGATAGCTCAAGTGGGAGAGCAGCGGCGTATTTAGCCGAAGGTCATGGGTTCGAATCCCGCTCGTGGCACTGGCTTTTTTATCTCAACCAATACCTTTCATAATTCAAAACTTTATTTTAAAAATATAGTGAATCTGTTCATAATTATTTAGAGCCAATTATTTAGAATTTTGAGAAAAAATAAAACCAGAAAAACGTTTTGGACCTGTGAATCATTCTTTAAAATTCTCATATCGGGTGGTATTCCTACTTGCTTTCTATATGGAGCTAAGGAATGGACACCTTTTTATGAAGTGGGACGCATTACCATTTCTCTGCATGCCGGACCCATAAGCGGGCTTTGGCCCAAAAGACGCGTCCGTGTCGATCGAGTAAGGCTGATTCTGAGTCGGACTGGTCTTTCTTCTGCTGTTTAGACTCTTGCGCCCACCTATTGACCGCATTCATAAGAAGCTCTCCTTTAAAGCCAAACACGCACCCAGGGTTTCTTTTTTTAAACTGATAACTAAAATCTTGTAAATAATTTTCCTAGAAAAAACATTATTATAAACACTGATAAAATTTAAAAAATTGTAGACACGCGAAAAATTAAAAAATGAACGACGATTAAGCCAAAATAAACCAAACATAAAACAAAACAAAATCAAAAAATGTTTCGTTTGTACGAAAAAATATACTTTACAAAACTGTCACATGAATCGGAAGCTCTTAATATTTAATTTGGATTTTACAAATTGAGCCTAATTATAATTCGCGTGGAAATCTTGGGCGTGGACGACTGCTGGCCTTCACATTTTCCCGACACGAAATTCACTGGCGTGATGCTCTCACGAAAGCTTTAAGCCACTTTGGCAAAATTACATACGCAGTGTGTTTTTAAACTAAATGTATATTTTGGAAGGGAAAATTCACCCTTTTAGCTGTTTCCAGATTTCCATCACCCATGGGCTCTGTATTTCGTCTAAATCACATCCCATTTCTTCTGTATTATGATCAGCAGATCAGATTCCAATGGTCGTCTTATATCATATATGTTTAAATATAAATTCACTAATTTCGTGGTCCGCTTGACCAATTAATATATTGCAATTAATTAAGGTTTTTAGTTGAGATAAAAAAGTCAATGGCACGAGCGGGATTCGAACCCACGATCTTCGTGATAGATACGCCGCTGCTCTACCACTTGAGCTATCGTGACCTCGATCCACTCGGACACTAACTTCCCATCTCAACCCCATCTTTTGAATTTTCCCTCCATTTTGCCATTTAAATATAAATATGTCAAAAATAACAACTTAAAAAACCTTTAAAGCAAGATATGTTATTGTTCATTCACGAAGAAAAATGAATTAATCCATTATTCTCTCGTATGGTCATAATGTCTGATTGTCAACGAAGATAATTGCGAGACAATTACACAATTAAGCTCAGAAATTAGATAAGAACCAATTATACTATAAACGGGCCGCAGGTCAAGGAGATCCTATGTTCGTTTATTTAATTACATTTTTGTCTGCTTCCTTATTTTTTGAGATTTATATCAGTTCGTACCAAGCAAGAATAATTGGCGATACGACCAAACTATTTTCACTACAGTTCAATACATCCTTCAGAAAACCATATGTTTTTACCCAATAATGCTATCATACCAATCAAATTCTTCTTTTATGGACGTATTCCGTCGACATTCTCATTCTTAAAACCCACAAACAGCCCAACCACATTTTTTTCTACGGATCCATCAGCTCCTGAGATGTCTACAATCTTAAAACTTAATCTTAAACACACTCCTTTTAAAACGCTTAATATTTATCCTAGATTCACATAAAATCAATTCTTCCCAACAACCTGTCTTCCGGCAGCAAGGGTTTCATAGTTGTTGACGCCAATCCCTCCGCTCTAGAGGACTTTCCTTTGAAGGTCTGGAACCAAGATATCCCCTAAAAAATTTAAACGTTTCCGGAATAACATTCAAAACTGACTTCCGACTTATACTCATGTCAAATACTTAGGACTACCTAAAGAGTAAATTGCCGTAGATGATTATGTCTTCACCTCGTCGTGAACTGCTGGTGCAAAAAGTGGAGGACAGGAGCGTATGAGAAAATATATATAGGTTGTTCATTTACATTTAAAAACAGATTTTCCCTCCATTCTACATCAACAAGAAGCTACTTACTTCCACTGAGGTTATATACTTAGGACTATACCAAGACTGATCCCCCACACAAGACTTAAGTGACTTAACAGAAAAATGACAAGAGTTAATAGAAAACCTGGACAACTGTGACTTGTATGATCGAAGTGTGCTTCAATTTTCAAAACTCGATTAACTCTATACAAGACAATTAATTAAGGTTTTTAGTTGAGATAAAAAAGTCATTGGCACGAGCGGGATTCGAACCCACGATCTTCGGCTATATACGCCGCTGCTCTACCACTTGAGCTATTGTGTCCTCGATCCACTCGGACATCAACTTCCTATCTCAACCCCACCTTTTGAGTTTTCCCTCCTTTTTGCCACTCTTCCATCCCGCTCGTGCCATTGACTTTTTTATCTCAACTAAAAACCTTAATTAATTGTAATATATTAATTGGTCAAGCGGACCACGAAATTAGTGAATCTATACAAAACTTAACACACACAAACATTTTATCAATTTAAATGCTTCCTACCCATCCCTAATTACCATATTTTGGATCCTATTTAACTTGCCAATGCTTCAGAGGGATGTGCGGCAATGAATACTCAGATATCAGACCAATCAGGCCGGCGTGCCAAACGGGAACATCCTTGATCCCATCTTACATATAATTTATACTGCTACTTCCCTACACAGCACAATACCATCATTGACACCGGTGGATGATAACGCAATTCTGACTTTTAAACCAATCTTATCCAAGTGACCTCGACATCAAAGGACACGTTGAGTTAATGAAAGACTAGTGCAAAAAGTAGGGACCAAACTGAATGAGGAAAAAACCCAGTACAAAAAAACATCTTGCCCTTCGCTATATATCAACAACAAGGGCTACCAATTTTCATGGTACTTAGGACTGTACCTAAAGAGCAGACTGGTGTGGATGACACCTAACTTTTGTGTTCTTACCCAAATCCTGCCTAAGCTACCTCCAACATCCAAGAACACCTTGAGCTTATTAAAGATTTGAGCAAAAAGAACAGGCAAGACTGAATGACAAAAACATACACAGTGAACATTTACATTGATCAAATAGTCAGACACTAATACTATACCTAGACATAGTGACCTCGAATCTCCACATAAGACAAGGGACAACTTGCCATCAAAACGTAACAAACACTATGCAAAATATTACTTCAGTCATTGAACTAATGTGGTTATGTTAAGCCATCCAATATCCAACACTTTCAATCGTTCCGTCAGTAGTCCATCAATAGGCCTCAGATAAATTTCCAAAGCTCCTTACTACTAATCTCCTAATCTCAACGACTTAAAACATTCCTTTTGTCCACAAGCTGATTCGTTCCCTATCCAAAAGTTCTACAACAACCTCTCGATCCATTCTAACCCTACTTGTCTCGAGACCTCACCTCTTAAATTAAGCAGTGCAGGGTTTCTTATAACATGTGTCTTCTGGATGATCATGTCAGTGTTGTGACCGAGAAAAAAAAACATACTAATTTGTTACGTAATTAATATATAAAGGCTAAATTTTGTCTTTGACAATCGCCTTGCCTTTTTGAAGATGGCGATGATTTACACAAGTAGTAACAAGAGTGAAAAATGGCAAAAAGGAGGGAAAATTCAAAAGGTGCGGTTGAGATGGGAAGTTAGTGTCCGAGTGGATCGAGGTGGCGATAGCTCAAGTGGTAGAGCAGCGGCGTATCTAGCCGAAGATCGTGGGTTCGAATCCCGCTCGTGCCATTGACTTTTTTATCTCAACTAAAAAAACTTAATTAATCGTAATATATTAATTGGTCAAGCGGACCACGAAATTAGTGAATTTAGTAGCAAGAGTGTTGCCAGTAGTCAATCGACAATATTGTATTTTTGATGTAATTATACATCTGGCGTTTTGTAGTGGTCAATCAAATTTCTAATTGTGCTTCCATTAAATGGCCAAATGAACAGTTTTTGTTTAAGTAAAAATATATAAATTTAGTAAAGAAGAGCTCACACTGCCTAAAAACCCTCAAAATTACGTAATCATACTAGACTAACTCCTTTACCTTGTGTAATATTCGCTACTTTCGACAGCAAGGGACTTAAACCCATAATTACCTACGTTAAATTCACACTCTCGCTTTTTAAGAAAATCTAAATTAAAATATTTCGCCGTCGACGGAATGGTGAATATTTAGGCCGAGATGGAGGATAGCGGTCCTTTTGAAGATCCTTTCTCCTCGTAGAGCCTCAGGAGAGACCAAATGTCAACAGTAATGAAATACTTCATTTGTAGCTATCATTTGGCCGTCCTTCGTCGGGCCAACCCTGTGTTTAGAAGAAGTTTGCATACATGTAAACATGCAACGCCTTCCGAAGGCCGGGGACTTTTTTTTTTTTGCTGCCCGCTCCCGACCGAGCATTAATGTAAAACTATGACGTTGGGTTTTCCGTTCTTTCCTCCAATCAATTAACATTTTAATCATAGCCTTGCTTAATGTTAAAGTTTTTTTTTATTATTAACGGGACCGTACATGCAACTGTTAACTCTAAAATAAATAATGTATAAATCATGAAAATAGTTGTTTTTAAAATTATATATTTAATATATAAAGAGACTGGACTAAAATAAAATTTTTAACCAATAATGATGATTTGTTATGTTTTTCAGGGAGCGATGGTGAAACGCCGCTTGGGCCGCTAGCGCTATTTTCCTTCATTGTCCAGACACGAGTGGACAAACTTCCTTACAAGCAGCAGGACCTCGAGTTGAAATCCGCTCTCAGAAGTCATCTACCAGACGGAGTGCTCCTGGGGGCCAAAGAAAAAGGAGGTGATGAATCATTTCCATCCAACTGTTAATGAGCTTAAAAGAATTGCTTCCGTGGTGATGTCGATGAACTGAAACTCTAGAATTGGTTAAATATCTAAACTCGAATAGATAATTACTATCAAGAATTGTTAATAATCGGCAATGTGCAAACAAATTGACAGAATCGTGGAAGTTCTGAGGGTGGTCTTCAGAGATCAAACCTGGTCGTTACCGATCATTTTGTAGACATTTCCACTAGAGCACACAGAAGATGAAATGCCAAAAAATACCTGACAGGTTGAAACAGCCAAAAAAAAGCAGACCAAAATGATCGGTAATGACTACATTAAATTGAGAGAATTGCTACTTATTAGTTTTCTTTGACATATTGCTTTATTGCGTCAAAATAATCCTTTTTAACTTTAATTAAACCTAAAATGTAAGCACATAAAATAAAAGTTCTTGATTTGTAGACAAAATTAATTATAAAATTATTAAGCTCTTTGTGACCATATACAAATTTCAAAAATTAAAATTAAAAATTACGTAAAATTAAAATTAAAACCAATTATATTTTTGTAATTGAAGATGTTTTTCAATATAAAGTAGTTGGGCACTAAAGATCCATGTGAAAATTAATTAAATTAACATTAAAATGTATGTAAAATGAAATATTCTTCTTTTGGTTGGAGATGTATTTATATATTTAAATTTAGTTAGACATTTTTTAAAAATTATATCAAAAAAACTTTTATTTTAAGATTTAATTTTACATAATATTTCATTTCAATTGTAATTTATTTTCATATGGTTTTTAAGAATCCAATTATTTTGCATTTTAAAAATTTCAAACCTGAAGAAGAATCATTTTTAATGTTAAATATTATTAATTGTAATTAATTTTTATATATTTTATATTTTTAAAAATTCTCAAACAAAGAGTAATTTTATTTTACATGCTTATACTTCATACTATCTTTTAGGTTTTTTAATGCTGTAAAAAAAGGATTAAATTGAAATTATAAAGGTTTCATTTAAAGTTAAAAAGGGGGGGTAATATAAAGTAAAAAAGAGTTAGTTTGAAATTAACAAGGTTATTTTGAAATTATGAAGATAAATTAAAAAAGTAATATGGTTTAATTTGAAATTAAAAAGGGTTAATTTGAAAGTAATAAGGTTTAGTTGGAAATTAAAAAGATTTATTTGAAACTAAACAGAGTTAATTTTAAATTAATAAGATTCAATTAGAAATTTAAAAGGTTTATTTGAAATTAAAAAGATTAATTTCAAATAAAAACACTTAAGTTGAAATTAAAAAGGGTTCATTTGAAAGTAGTAAGGTTTAATTGGAAGTTAAAAAGGTTTATTTGAAATTTTAGAAAAGGTTAATTTGAAATTAAAAAAGGGTTAATGTGGTGCGAAAAAAGCTATAGATCAAACTGGAGCATTTGTGATATATTCGATTTTGTAACTTGCTCGTTGTCTGTCAGAAGATTTCCGGTCTTTCTCCGTCATCGGTGGTGACTCAGGAGTATAAGCTGGGCGAGGCACTTACACAAATCTGCGACTGAAGATGACCGAATGTCAAAACGCGCCTGACAGACCAAACGATCAAGGATACGCAGACAAAATTTAACGCAGACCTAAATAATGACATGCTAGTCGTAATAGTCAAAAATCGCAAAATGTCTATATTAATAATTCGAAATACTGCCTATTTTCTTTAAAACATTGTCTAGGATTTTTATTCCAATACTGTGTATTTATGGCTGAATAATTAATTGATAATACTTGAAGTGATGCAGTTTTCTGTCAGCTGACATGTCTATATTCCTTGTCATTTCAGAAAGGAGTATAAATGTTTTAAATTTTATGTCTGCTAAATTATTAATGTCCAGTAAATTTTTGTTCAAGTCGAAATGAACAATTTTTTACTATATAACAGAAATTTTAATATTACAGCTCAATAGTTCAGAAAACATAGGTATTTACTTCGTCGTTAAAAATTTTCCAAATTTGAATAATTTCTTTATACATTCACCTATCAAAGAGCACTTTCATTGAGTGGCCCTAGAAGTTAGAAGTTAGAATTCTGACTTGTAGAAGAAGGGTCAAAGTCACCCAATAAGGATGCGAGTTTGGCACACGGACACTTACTTTGAAGCCAAAGGTTGCTCAATGAGACCCTAACTGAAGGGTGTACTCCTTGGCTCTGTACAGAGAACGTGTAGCATACCACCCGATATGAAAATAAGGCAGCGAATATCCCCTGTTTCGTTTTGTTGGAGGAAACAGGATTGTTTTATTGTATACACCACTGATAGTTTTGTGTACCTAGCGTGAGAGTGAATGTATTTATTAGCGTGAATGTGTAGTGTAATAAGTGAATCTATAGCGGATTATTGAGTACCCCATCGACTAATAAGGATAGTATATAATAGGTATAAAGGGTGATGTAGATCGAGTACTCCATCACCCTGAGTGAATGTTATGTAAATAAGAAAAAATGTATTTAAGAGTGAGTGAGAGAGTGAATGGGTCTGCATTTAGGAACTGCAGGCGTTGGATGCTAATTTGACCTAGCTGGCTGGAGGAATAAGACGTAGATCTGATCCCGGACTTCCAACACCCGAGGTGGGTAATTCTCGAGGCCTGCCAGTAATTTATTGTACATTTAAAAAAGGCTGGAGTTGCCAGTGTGATGCGAGCTCAATTTCTGTACAAGCTTGAATGTTTTGTATATACAAGTCAAGTTGAGATTTTTTTAAAATTTGGGTTTGCTGAACTTTATTTTCTCAATATTTTAATTCTGTATAGTGCTGTTCAATTACAACGATTTACTGTTTTTTATACAATTAAATTATGTGTTATTAGTGTTCTTTACTTTGTAGATTTCGATATTTTTTTAACAGTGTTGTATAATTGAAACGTTTATTTTACTTTACGAGCCAAAATTTTTTTAAATATATATTTCATTGTATATTTTTATGATTATTTGGAGATCGTGAGATGCGGTATGGTGTAACGTAGGTTTCAGAAACACATTTTCTTTATCGTGCCAACGTTTCGATCTTTATTGAGACCATCTTCAGGACCTGGGATTTATGAACATTGTTTAAATTTTGCAAATACATATAGGATGTGAAAAAAATGAATTTATACAATGCTAGAAATTTTAGATTCAATCAAAGTGTTTGTTTTCTGTGTAGATGAGTGAGTACAAATTACTTTGATTGAATCTAAAATTTCTAGCATTGTATAAATTTTTTCCTTTTCACATCCTACATGTATTTGTAAAATTTAAACAATGTTTATAAATCCCAGGCCCTGAAGATAATCTCAATAAAGATCGAAAGTTGGCGCGACAAAATGTTTTTCTAAAAACTACGACACACCAGACCGCATCTCACGATCTCCAAATAATCTTTAACTAACGGTCACTAAACACCACACTTATATTTTTATGTGAGTCGCTGTTCATTACTTTGTCTTTTTATTTGACAAGCCTGAACTTTTATTTTTATGTGCGGTTTATTGTGGGCACCTTCTTTTATTTAAGTTGCTGTTCTTTACTTTCCTCCTTTTTACTTTTAAGTTTTTTTTAATAATTATTGGCACATTTATAATATTTTTCGATTTAGTATCACTAAAAACGTTTCTTTAAAATCACTGATCCCACGTCCGTAGCCTCCCTTTGTTAGTACATTTTGATATATCTTTTCCTTTTAAAAAGAAATCTTGTTTTGTTGTTGATATTTCAGCTAATTTTATTTAACAAAATCCTTAGAATTATAAGATTTTTAAAAAATTACTTACGTATAAGCATCGTCCGTAGTTTTCCTTTGAGAGTGAGAGAAAGTGTGCAGTACAGGCTTTTGGAGTCGTCAGCGCAGAGCGCACCTCCAGTCACGGCCAGAAGATAGGCAAGTAGCACGTTCATCAATAGTCTGTCTATTATGAAAGGTCTCAAGTTGGGCAGTTGCCTAAAGAGAAATAACTGAAATGAATTTATAGATAAGTTTCTGCCCGAGATAAGACCCTAGCCCTAAACAAATTGGTTGCTGTGAATTTTCCTCCATAACCCTCCATAAGTACCATACTTCATGATCACTAGATAAAAAAAAGTATTTTTATCCATTTTTTTTTCTTTTTTAGTAATTGTGGTAAACTTATCAATGGAAATATGTAAACTGTCTTAGTTAGTTTGCGATTTTTTCGGAGATTTTATTGTATTTGGTCTTCCTGGTTCTGCCTGTTCTCAATTTTCAACAGCGAAAAGGCGGACCAGGATGATCGGATACAAAAGAAATTAAAAAATGACATGACAATTATAAAATATTGAGCCTGTTTATTGGATCATTAGGTGGAATTTCAGACAACGTTGAAGCAGAATAAGCTACCTAAAAAGTTTTTCAATTAATTAATCTTTATATAAGGTGTTGGTTGAAATAAAAAAGTCAGTGTCACGAGCGGGATTCGAACCCACGACCCTCGGCTAAATACGACGCTGCTTTACCACTACACTCGGACACCAACATCCCATCTCAACCTCACCTTTCGAATTTTCCCTCCTTTTGCCATTTTTCACTCCGAGTGGATCGAAGTCACAATAGCTCAAGTGGTAGAGCAGCGTCGTATTTAGCCGAGGGTCCTGGGTTCGAATCCCGCTCGTGACACTGACTTTTTTATCTCAATCAATACCTTATTTAAAGATTAATTAATTGTAAAACGTTATTCGGTCAATCGGACCACGAACTCTGATGGACTACCTAAAAAGATTGATTTTTAAAACAAGGAATGTTTTGTGAAACACAAGACAGAAGAATCAAAATAAATCAAATAGAGCTAAATTTAATTTTGGTGTAAACAGCTATTAAACAGATAATCAGCTTAGATTTTTACTTTAAAGCATTTGGGCATTAATATTAGCTAAACAATGACCACAGATGACAGATGGAACGTTTCCTAAGAGCCCTTTTGAGGAGTGCAAAAGAATTCAAACAGCAACGAAATGTTAATGAATACAAATAAACAATAACAATATAAAAAAAAATTAATAGATTTGTTCAATTTATGCCCTGTTTATTTTAAACTCTGCCTTCCACAACAGTTGTTTATATTACTAAAAGCACAGAACATTAATAAAATTTGAAGAAAAATTAATAACGGACCAATACAACTTACTTGTACAACGTTGTGACGGAAAAGTTGGACTCCGAACCATCATTATCAGTAACTAAACAATATTTTTCTTCAGACTTGTTCTTGTCAAGAAGATTTGGTTCGCTTCTGGATTTGACGACGGGTATGGTCGGGTTGTCGCCGTCATCGTGCGGACTGCTGACGACAGGCTCTTTCGGTTTCGAGTCGAATTCTATTTTCGCATGGGTATAATCGCCAGTAGGACCTTTGTAAATCGGGCCGTCGATGATGTAGGACGACTCTGGATCCTCGTAATCGGTCGACTCCGGGTTCGGAGTGGCCGGTTCTATCAATCCGCCCAAGGCTTCGTGTGTCCGGTTCAGTAACCGTTCTTCGCTGACGACTTTCTTGACCAAATCTTTGAATTTATCTGCGAGGACGTTAGTGTCGGAGAGATCTTTTGCGAGGAACTGTCGTTCAGTTGCGTCCGAATTGACTGTTTGGTTGTTGTTGAAGCTCCTCGTCGTCGAGTCCATATTCGAGTCGGGCGTGCTCAGGACAGAACTGGTCGGCGAGACGCGAGGTGTCGGCGGCGTATCGTCCACAGAATTAACCTGTGGTTTGAACGTACGGCATTCCTTAACATTGGTGATTTTCGCCGTTTTTGATGTGATTCTTTTCGTCGTCGGGCCGGTAACATTAAGCGGCTGCTTCCTCGACACCTTTTTCACCGCTGTAGTCGGTTGGCTGCCCAATTTAGCGGCAGCTTCGCGATATCGCGATTTGACGTGGGCGTATTTTGGGTTGACATTCCTTATTACAGGAGGTTTGCCACTTGGTGAATTACGCCGTGTGTTCGTCCGTTTGAACGTCGTCGTGGTATTCTTCTTTGTCACGTTGGTGCACTGATTGTTTTTCTTCTGGTTTTTCTGCGCCGCGGCTGCATCTTTAAAGAGATACGCATATGAGGAACGTCTCGGGCCCTGTTCCTTTTTCGGGTTTTCATAACTCTGCCGCACGTTCTCGGGTATCTGAGCTCCTCGATTTGGCACTTTTTTCGCCTGCTCTTCTTTTTCCGCTGGGATGGGTTCGACTACGGCCACCTCTTCTTTTTTCGGCGGCTTTCGCGTTTCGACACCTTCAGACAGAAGGAAACTGCCGTGGTAAAGGCTCAAAAGGGTTTTGCCGAATCTGAACGCCGCTTCGGCTAGATCACCGTCGATGTCCCTCAGCACGTCCACCACCCCCGACTTCCCGCGCGTGTTTACGATTATTTTTATAGCGAATTCGTATATAATCAACTGATCGAGTCTACCCGCTCTTTTGAACATTTCGTACAAGTGCTTGACTTTGTCCCAATCTGAATCGCTCATGGCTTTCATAACGTCTATCGCTTTTCCGATAACGAACGGATCGAGAGAAGAGAGAGCGCCTGTCGGGGTGGTCGACATTTCAGTAAACTCTAAATAGCATTTGGTAGGCTTGATAGTCGGCTTGACGAGGGTCTGCAGATCGATGGATTTCGGCTCGGAAGACAACTCTGTCGACATATCCGAAACCAGGAGATTCGGCGTACTCTCTACCGTTTTCTCTACCGAGCTGGATTTCTCGAGGAGCTTTCTTTGAACGTTTACCAGACTTTTCACTTTCTGTGATATCGCCATCGTCGTACTTGACATCCACGCTTTCAGCCTTTTCTTGTCATGCTCCAGGCCAGAAACGACTGGATTAGCGTCATATGGATATGCATTCGGGTACTGCATTATTTTATCCGAATCCAAATCACTTTTCTGCTTGATGTTATCGCCAAAGCTGCAAAGAAATCATTAAATGCCAAAATGATATCCATTTTAAAATGAAATTTTTTTACCTTGTGACTGAAGAATCGTTACCAATTTTATAAACTTCGGTGGAGTCAAAATCACTGATGGTCGTGTCCGATTCGCAGAGAGTCTTTTGAACCTAAATGCCAACAGTTTTTTTTTTATTCACCAAATCCTCGGAATTAAATTTAACAATTTGTGAAAAATCTGAACCCTACCTGAGTTTCTACAGCGTCCAGGTCGACTTCCATGACTTTCGAACGATCCACGCTGTACAGAGCACTGTTCTGAAGTTGCTTTCTGCTCACCTCCACCGTCCATCCTCTTGGCTTGGCCATGACTCCCTTTTGTTTGTTACACGTAAAATTTATATTTAATATTAGATATGTGTTAAATTTTGACTTTTACATTGTTTTACAAATTGATAAAATTTAATTTTTAGTTTTTTCTGTATCAACATCTGATTTTTTGTTATTAAATGGAAAGACTGATTTTCTTCTGAAAATTGAATTTACCGAATTTGAAAAGAGGAGGTAAATAAAATTGACAAAAAAGGACCTTTCGAAACATTTTATCGTGGGTTCATCAACTAAAACTAATCTTTGAATTTAGTCCATGTTCTGGACTTATTTTTTAGAGTACAACAATAATCCCTGTATTCTTTTCTATTTTGTTCCATACCAGTTTCAAATGTCACCTTAATATTTACAATTGTTGTTTTTCCCCATGAATTATATTTTATGGAAGTTTTTATTTTTTTATTTATTTATTGTTAATTCATTGCTGTAAAGAGATTATGGGATTAGACTATTATTATGTTTGAAACGTTCAACGAGGACATTTGTCGATTTGTCTACCCAAACTATTTTTGTACCATTGAATTTTCAATTGTTATTCTATAACATTTCATTTAAATTGTTAGTGTAGAAAAGAAATTTCGTATATGACAAGTCATCCGTTGTATGGAGACCCGGATTGGGGAGTGACCCATTGGGGCTGCTGAGAATTTGCCAATGAGCCACAAAACATTTTGATTTTCTATGCTCCTCAAACATTATAAAACTATTTTTAAAAATATTTGTTTCTTTTAGTGATGTTTCCTGTCGTCCACTTCACGAATGACAAGAATTCGCTGAAGAAGAGGCTTTCCGATGAGTACCTGCTGGAAAACGGGTTTTTATTACATCAAGGTATGTTTTTGATAGCCGGATTTAAAATTAAACTTATTCGCTTTTCCCTCGTTCTGTGCTTCAGGTGTTTATCGAGAAGTGAGAAGCATCTGCCCAGAAGGTGAGCACCACCGGACGGAAACAGTCTTGCCACAGCATGTCGGCTACATCCTACTCGGTTTCAAAAGTATAGACAAAAATTTCAGTCAGGTACGTTATTCAAAAATAGTTTAGTAATATTAGAAAATATTCACAAAGTATAGAATTTCTCATAAACATGTTAACCACCAATGCACATTTCAGGTAATGGTCGATTCGTGGAAAGACTGGACGGGTGCTCGATACATTTACATGTACCTGCCTGATGAGCTAGGCCTCACCAGGATCACCTTTTACACCCGCGAAGCCCCCGACAGCCTGAATATGTTCATGTACGTCGTGCTCGTCGAATGCCGCAACATCTCGACGAGAGAGAGACAAGTAAGAAAAATCTAAAAAGAAAAATCTTCAAGTCTCAGAGTGTAATAGGCAGAAAGTTTGCCTCCATGGTGTTCTGTCCTCATAAAAATCACACGTTTATTTCATTTTTGTAAAACGTACATTTTTTCAGATGAGACTTTTAGACTTTGCGCAGCGTATGCGAGTCGAGAGGATGTCAGGCTACATCTCCGTCTATGGGATAACTCCAATGAACGATGTTTCGAACTGATGTGATCTTTAGATCTGCACTCTAACAAAAAGAAGAAAAATAATCAAACGGAAAAAATAATTTACTCACTTATTTTAAGAAAATGTCGATGTGTCTTGTGAAGATTTCTTTCGCCAATTTTTTATTATTATTTTTATTTGTATTTAATTTAAGTAATAATTTTGTTGTGATCAAGTGTGTTTTTTAATATTATGTAAGCTAACTATTGATATGATCTCAGTACAAAACTGTGAACGTTGAAAAGTGTTTTATTCATTCAAACTCAACCTTGATGACAATTTCTGGAACCTGGTGATCTCTGCCAAGACATCGAACTAGGCGTAGTTAAAACTTTGCAATGTACTTACAATGACGCTAAACCGAAATATAATAGTTGTGGGATGTGGAAACTGAAGACATGCGGACCACAAGAGCAGGTGACCTGGAAGAAAACATCTCTTCTGAGCTTCTTTCATCGAAGTTCTTGATAAGATGATGAGCATACTAGGAAGCGAGGTTTTGGTATTCCCAAGCATTGCTGCTTTATTTATTTAGAAATCGTGAGATGCGGTGTGGTGTGATATAGGTTTCACAAAAACATTTTCTTTATCGTGCTAACGTTTCGATCTTTATTGAGATCATCTTCAGGGTTCAAAGTGTTTTTCTTCTGTGTAATTGTGCCATTCTTGCATGTCGTGTCGAGAGTGCCCACGCAAGAATGGCACAATTACACAGAAGAAAAACACTTTGAGCCCTGAAGATGATCGCAATAAAGATCGAAACGTTGGCACGATAAAGAAAATGTTTGTCTGAAACCTACATCACACCATACCAATTTCTAAATAAATATCGATTAACGGTCACTAATCACCACACATTGCTGCTTTAGTTTAGTTCAACTGACGTGACTCTCCTTTCAAGAATAAGGACTGTTGTTGCTGTAATTCTTTTTACCAGGTTATCTTGGTACTTACTCTAGATACATTGAGCGGCTGCTTCACCATTTGAAGATAAAAGGAGTAGCAGTTTCTTCCTCATCATTACATAACATACAAATTTAAGAAAAAAAAAATTAAATGTAGGTATTTTCTCACACGCCAGAGACAGGCCTCCTGAGTTTTACCCTGTCTAGTTGTAGCGCTGTGTTTGCTAATTTTAAATCAGAGTTCTTAATTAGGAATAAATTTACATTTCCAAATCATACACGTTTGAAAACTATGATTATGTCTGTTAGGACTTGGATAAATCTTTCAGAAATTGGATCGTACTAATTATACACGGAATTGAAATTGTCATCTTGAATTTGGTAGATGTTACAGACGTTGTACTTAGGTCGTAATAAGTTAGGTCGAAAATTTAATGGCTGTTGAAAGTAGAACCTATCTGCAGATTACAAGTTGGCGTTATGGACAGTCAGACAACATCGATACCTTTCTTCTTTTACTGATCAGGGTCGTGTAGGGGCCAGAAAGTCCGGTGTGGAAGTGTTGAGCGACAGATTCTCGGACAAGCCGTTTGTGGTTAAAGAAGCCATTGTTGGTAGATGGTTTGTAGGACCTCGGGCAACTGTGAGCCAAGTTTGCTGTCGACCGAGAGGGCTTGCTTGTATCCATTAGTGATGTGAGATCTTGCCGAGACGAGTATGAGTTAAACCTGATGGGCCCCTGCTTGATTAAACAGTTGGAAGTTGCATTTATTACTGTTAGAAAGGCGAAAGCATTATCGAAGTAGTGAAGGCTTGGTCGAAATTTAGTAAACCATAGGCATCACACTCTCTTCTGTACTTCTTTCGGTCACTGTGGTCCCCAACGCAATAGTATGTACTTTACATACAATAATGCTATCTGGTGAGTCAAATGCAACTGGCCACTATTCAAAGTTAAAATTACAGTATTTTATTATCGTAAGTACTCGATGGTTAATGCCACCTGGAGGTCATATGCTTGCTTCCTTGGTAGTACCACTTTTGGATATTGATTGAAAAAACATTATCTATAATTTTTAGGTCTTCCAGTGAAAGAAAGGTCTTTTCTTTAAGTAAGTACGCATCTGATTAGCACCTCGGGTTAATTTGATGGAGGAAGGTCAAGTGCGGTAGAAGCTCAACCCCATCCATTTGGGAAAGATTTTACTAGCTGCGTTCAGTCAAAATGTTGCACCTTTTTCGATGCCCGTCTTGTGAAAGTTCTTTGCATGATATTTCAACTTTATTTAACTTGTGTATGTGACCACTTATCTGTGACAAACATCGTTTGACAGTACAAAAAATGTTTTTCGTAGGATCAGCGTCAATAGGGTGTCGAAGAGATGTTCAATACAAGAGTACCAAAACCTAACTAACCTAACCCAAAATGTTAATTTCCTCAATGAGCATGGCCAAGGATGGAAAAAAACAAATCTATAACTTTGAGTCCTGTCCCAACTCGCTTCACATAATAAATAGAGCGAAGAAGGGGATTTTTTCTAAGCTGTATGAACGGTGATACCCAGGCACAACACTGAAGATGGCAAAATTCTGAATCGGGTCTGTCAGTCCTAAATAGCGAGGAGGAAGATGATTAGTAAGGATCAAATTACAGGTTCAGCACCTCGCAGACAACCCGGGCAAATCTCACAATTTATACATGAGTTTTAACGGACGCAGGGATGCAGGAGAAACGATTATGTTTATGCAGAGGAGGATACAGTAGAACAGACGTGTAAGCGTTAACAAGGATGCTCTAAAACAGCAATCAACTCGAAACACATTAAATTTACTCATGACAAAAATATGTAAAAGGACTCAATAAAAAAGCTTTTGAACGAAACACTGCATCTAGAGAATTTCAAAATTTTAAAAAATAAATAATGTCAAATACTGAGCAAATAATGGAAAAACAGACGACAAAATGATTCATTATAATCAAATTAAAACATATTAGCGAAAAATTGTCATTTCATACCAATAACGATACAAGTAAGATGGATTAATAACGTGTGATAACATAATTTCACCGTGATTATCTTGATCTGATTGATAACAGCCTTAAAATTATAATTGTATATAAAAATATCGGCGATAAGGCGAATTTGAAAGCAAGAAAACTCAGTTCCTTTATTAATGGAATTAAATAAGTTAAGCTAAATAAATTTAACAATTTTTATCTCTTCTGGGATTGCCTCGTTTGTTAACTTAACAATAAAATTACTGTTGTTTGTACTTTGATTGTGATTACCTAATTGAGACGTTTTTAACTGAATTAATGAGAAGACAGGTAAGAAAGCTGTTCAATAAAAGCAAGTTCAACCAAACACGGGACACATATAAAGAATGTATTGGTATGGCACAGTCTTTCAAGCAGAGACTGTGGTTATTGAACATTGTGCCAAGGAAGTTAAAAGGCTAGGTACCGTTAACAGAAGAATAGCCATCGACTCGGACAGCCAAGCGCCACTGAGTACAATTACCGCTTCGGTAAAGTCCAGAGTCAAAGAAAAAGTACCATGGCCCACAAGGTAGAGGAGCAATGAAGATGGCGATAAATTGGCCAAGGAAAGTTTGATAAGGGGACCTATTGGCATTGAACCCTTTCCTGGCATACCAAACTTCCAAAAACGTGGAACCATCCATGGACAAAAGTCCTCCGTTCAATGGGAATTTAGCCCAGGACAGAGACGAAAAAAGTTCATCAAAGCAGGCAGAAACAAACAACAGAACTACTTAATGTAGGATGTGTTAGGACTAGAATAATAGTTGGACTGCTAACTGAACACTGCGGGCTTTGGAGGATATGGATTTGGAGTGGCGGAACCAAGCCTGTGCAGATTGCCAGGAAGAAGGAGAGACAGCGGTACATTTCATCTGTTGGTACAAAGGCTTATGTAGACGGAGCTTTTACTCCTGAGAAGGGAAAAGCCCATTTCTGAAGGACTCACAGGAGTCCTTGAAAAAGCACAAGGTGATGCACAATAGACCAACATTGATCGCAGTATGCAGATCGTAAAGAGGAAGACTCCTCTAAATCTTAATTTAAGATTTTGAGGTTTGGATTAAGAAACCGATCCATTAAAGGTTGAGATGACCTAGCTTTGACAGCACCTGAAGCTCAACTTCAGTGGCTGGATGGATAAAACGGAGGTATGACCCCAAAATGCAAACACCAACGGTTGGTGATTCTCAAGGCTTGCTGGTTATGGTAAATGATGGCGAGAAGTGATAGGTTTAACTCTGAACACGTGTGTGTATGTACATGCATATGCAGAGCTTACCTTATATGAAAAAAGGTTCCTCGGTATGCCCTAATTAATTTAAGGCTGTCTTGGCTCCATATAGAGTGCGTGTAAGAATACCACCCGATATAAGAATGAGAATGTTGCGTGAACATGCATGGGAATATTTCGTTATTGTTCCGATTTTTACAATAAAAATATAAAACTAAGCTGTTTTATAGTATATAAAACTGATTGATATTTCGTTTTGTGTTCTATTTTAGGTACAGTGAGGCTGAGTGTATTTATTAGCATGAATGTGTCGTGTGAGAGACCATCTCCTTCTCTAATCTAATCTAAACTTCCCAAATTTATTATTTAATTTTGCATTTATATTTTAAAAAACTTTCAAAAAACGACCTTTGTTTGTTTTTTTTAAATGTGACCACTATGTCAGAAAGAATTGTTGTTAAACCAACTTATCAATTTATTTATACTACTTAACATGTTTTTTCCAGCGCTAAATGTTATTTTTTATTTTAACACTCAATATCGAGTTCTTATTTCCAATAAAATACGTTTTGCCATTGAATTATACGAAGATCGACTCGACGTAAGGCCTAAATGGATTTTATGTCATATGCGGATAGGAAACGTTTTATTTTCCCAACATTTAAGCAAAAAACCATACAGTATGGTCGAACTTGTCCGTCCTATTCCCAGCCAATTTGACCTTGACAATTGAGACCGCATGGAAGTCGAGCACGTGCGTAAATGCCGACACGAAGGTTATTTTATCAAAAGTAGTAAGATTAGAGTTTGTATTTGTTTATTTTTACAGTTTCCAGAAATAATTATAGGGCTAATAAAATATTTATTATTTCATTTTATCGCTCTTTGAACTTCTTTCTAGAAGAAATTCTTTCTAAGCGAATATGAGCGTAAATCTGCGAGCGTTAAGCTCGATTTTAAGGTAATCCACGTTTGAAATATATTTGATATGATTATTTTAGTTTTTGATGTTTATCTTTTTAAAAAAAATATATATCTTTATCGAGTCATGGATTGAAAAATAAATCATGCATTTTATGAATTTTATTATTACATAATTGTATTATTTATTTCATAATTTATTGTTGTTTATCTTTAAGTGAAGTAATACCAGCATAATCTTTGAATACTTTCTCACTGAAGATGGCGCAAAACCGAACTCTTTTGAGCAGTTCAACTGACCCGCGAGTGAAGTCGGACCCATTTAGTGACCTATACTGGTGTAGCATGAGTTCACCGACCCGCAGCATTAAATCATTTAGTATCTTTTTTTTTTACAAACTTTGTATTTTAAAGTGTATGGATACATAAATGGGTTCAGAGTTTAATTTGTAACACCCTTCTGCTTTGGTTTCCCCCCTTCTGATTAAATCGTGAGATTGCCTCCTTTGATCTGCGGGGTGATGAACTTATCGATCGTCTAGGTCCGTCATACGAAGACCAATCACTGAAGACGGCGAAATGATGAACAAAATGACAGACCAACCCAGCAAGGATGGGCAGACCAGGATCAAATTACAGCTAACAATAGCATGAGTGTCCTTGGTCATCCTGATCTGCCTGTTTTACTGCTTTTGTCCATCAGACTTCTTTTCACATTCACCGTCTGCCATGAAAAAAAAAAACAAAAAAACTGACAATCAAGCAACAATAGGCAGACTATGGAAGCTCGAGGGTGATTAAGGAACAGTTTCAGACCTAGATTCATAGAAAATATCATTTGTCGTGCAATTTTATACTGTGTTAGTAATAAAAATTGCATTAAAAATTTCCAAAGGTTGGTTGAAGGTCCTTTAAGTCAGTTCTTAAGGAGTCTGCTGACATGTAAATCAGTATTTGTCAACTTTTCAATCATCTCTAATCATCCTGATGGTTCTCGATGCAAATTTCAATCAGATATGTTTAAAAATTTTGCCATATCATTTCCACAAAAACCTACAAGCAGATAACAGATATTCACAAATGAAAAAGATGACAAAACATCTAGTGATAACATACGATGATAATTGACAGATCAAAATGCTCGGGGTTGTTCAAAATTTGAATTGTAATTTTTTTTATCAAGTCAAAGAAATTGAATCATGAAAAAAAGCTTTTGTGAAGCTTAATTTTTTTTAAATTAACATGTTATGTTTATTTTAGGCCTAAGGCGAATAGGCTTGTGATTGGCAACAAATACTCATCGGATGCTGTCTTTGTACCACCGAAGAGAATACAAAGATCACCAACAGACATTCTTAAAGTATTAATTTCACTCTGAAACCTTTTATTTGATTTTAACGTTTGATTTTATCCCTTTAGGCCATTTCAAGCACAGTTGGTAAGGACCCAACGGCTCCACATTACAAATATCATGATGACCCGTACCTCATACCGTACTCACACTCGACCAAGAGGTCGTACAGCATGTCACAGGAAGCAGGCAGGAAAGCCGCTCAGTGGATCCGAGAGCAGCACGCTGATCTTTTTCAACATAAAGAAGCAGATCCTATGATTGAGGTTGTACTTTCTTACTCAAAACAAATTTTTTTTTTTTAAGAAATCGGAATGAAAGCCAAAAATGAGATTTGATTAGTTTATGTAGATTTAAAATTGTTTTTAAAAAATCCTGTTGTTTTTAAAACACATAGAACCAAAATTATATAATTTGAAATCAAGGATATAAACAGGGTGAGGCTAGATTCACTGTTGTCATGTTAAATAATTCCTTTATTAATTTTCATTTCTTGCTAAGCATTTTTCTTTTAAATCTCATTATTTTATTGAGATGCTGGTAACAAACAATGGGCCATTGATATGAAAAACTAAAGGAAGGTGATGCTTAATGAGGATTAGGTTGGATGAGAAAAGATTGCTATTGTTTCATCATCATCTTATTCTCTTTGTATAAAGCGTGGTTTTCATATTTAAAAACTTATCTCCTCTCCTCCCTGTTGAATATGATCAATTAGTCAAGTTCTGTTAATTAGAAAACACCATAACCCAATTATATGAAGTCAGAGATATAAACAGAGTGAGGCTAACATATTACAGCTGCAGGAACTTATTCAGGAATATACAAAAATAGTCAAGTTTTGTTAATTAGAAAAGAACTTAACCTGGTGCTGAGCTGTCACCCAAACATGGTGAGGCTAGTATATTTCAGCAGCATGACTTTATTTTAGTTGTATGAAGTAGGGGTTTTTGCTTTAAAAATTGTCTTCACTAACTACCTGTTGAACAGTCAAGTTCTGTTTATTAGAAAAGACCATAGTCAGACAGTCCAACGTCAGGCATATAAATAGGATGATGCTAGCATATTTCAGCAGCATGGCCTTATTCTAGTTGAATAAGGCAAGTTTTTTAAACTTTTCTTCACTATCTACCTGTTGGTTATAAAAGAATTGACAAGTCCTCTTAATTATTAAAAAAAAAATAGTTGGATGCTGCCACGTCAGGGATATATGCAGGATGAGGCAAAGATATTGTAACTAGATCATTTTATTCTAACTGAATAAAGCTAAAAAAATTTCCTTAAATTTTTTTGTACAATTTAAATAACTAATCAAATGGTATTGATTGGAAAAGACCATATCCCAATGGTGTGATGTAAGCATGGTGAGGCAAGGATGTTTTATTGTTTATGCATCAATTAATTCTGGTGATTGAATCATGGTTTTGGCTTGGTTATTTATTTTTATTTATTTTTTTTTTTTTAATATTTGTGAATGCTATGATCACTGAACACTATTATTATAAAAAATTCCTTTTAAATGGTTAATTTATTTTAGAAATTTTCACCAAAACCTGTTTACAATGAAGAAAGCAATGTAAACGAGGACATACTGAAGAATGTAATAAATGCGGCTAATGTCAGTGATGCTGTAATAATTTATGAACTATTGGTTAAGAAAGAACAAGGTATAAAATTAAAACATTTATATTGTTTGTTTCTTTTTAAATTTACATTGTTTTCTTTGCAGAAATAAGCCTTCCTACAAAGCTCAGCCTCTTGGAGTTGCTCTGTTTTTATAATGGTGAAGATCCCCTCAGTGAAGATTGGATAGAAGAGCGATGGTACAGGCAGGGTACTAAAAAAAGGGAATTCGTTAAAAACTGTTGGAGGTATATACACCCAGTGTGTGAGCGTAAACAAGATAAATAAAAAATTTATATATTTTTTCAGAGGCAATGAGCCGATACAACAACTTTTCCGTGAATTATCTGAAAGCGAGTTGAAATCGGATGCATACTGTACGCTAATATGCGGAATGCTCAACTATGGCCAGGTCGACGGAGGTTGGGATTTATATGAAAAATCTAAAGCAGCCGGTGTCGCTTTGAATACAGAAACTTTCAACTGTCTTATATCAAAGGCGTTTGTACTAAAAGAGGGTCACAGGATGGTCTTGGAAGTTTTGGAGGTATATATTTCGTCAATTTTCAAAATATCTGAGAGTTACCTTATTTTAAACTTTCTCAGGGCTTAGCCAAGGATATGAATTCAAGGGGGCTTCGTGCCAATTTGGGCACTCTAAACAAGCTTCTAAAGACGCTCAGTGCCATAAGCTCAAACAAGCAGGCCAGAGAAATGATTTTTATGACTTTTTCAGAATTTAAACGCCTCCAGATTGAGCCTTCAGCGGCCAGCTACTTTTATTTAATGCAAGCCTTTTACAAAAACAGTAAGTCCATCATTAATATACATTATATATATTTATGTTAATATACAAACTTCTTAAACAATCCGTCACATCCACTATAGTAAAATACCAAAATGTAAGACCAAAGCTTACATTAATAGTTTTGATAGTTTAGTTAATTTTCAAAGCCAATCAAACTAATGACAATCCATGTCAGTGTTTATCAGAAACCTATTCCCTTAAAAAAATCTCAAAAATATAACAAAACAGTGACGCTTCCCCAATAGAATCCAATCATCAGTATCTTAGCTATCTATTCCCCACAATCAACCTCAAACACAAATTTAGCATAAATGGGGCATCATCAGATCACACTCATACATCATCAAAATCCTATCTATTTTTCTTTGACGATCAAACTTTCAAAGTTAAAATTGCACAAAAAATCAGAGATTGCCTCAGCAAAATTTATATTTACTCCCTTAATTTAGTTTAAAATTTATTCAAACAGAGATGCTGCCTCATCAGTTCCTCTTCATACATTATCAGTAACCTAGCCATCTCTGCTCACTCAATCAACCTCAAAAGCAAATTTTACATAAATGGGGCATCATCAGATCACACTCATACATCATCAAAATCCTATCTATTTTTCTTTGACGATCAAACTTTCAAAGTTAAAATTGCACAAAAAATCAGAGATTGCCTCAGCAAAATTTATATTTACTCCCTTAATTTAGTTTAAAATTTATTCAAACAGAGATGCTGCCTCATCAGATCCTATTCATACATCATCAGTAACCTAGCTATCTCTGCCCACACAATCAACCTCAAATACAAATAGAACATAAATATGGCATCATCAGACTGTCAGACCTCTCATACCTCATCAGTATCCTAGCTATTTTTCTTTGACAATCGAAGCTAATATTGAACAAAAAACCAGATATTGAGTCAACAAAATTTACATTTATTCCCTTAATTTAGTTTAAAATTTATTAAAAAGAGATGCTGCCTCATCAGATTCTACTCATACATCATCAGTATCCTAATTATCTTTATTCCCACAATCAACCTCAAAAGTAAATTGAGCATAAATGGGGTATTATCAGATCACACTATGACATCATCTACACGAAATTATCTTCGCTAGTCTAATCAAGCTAAGTGAATAAAAGAAAAACACCATTCATTAGATTCAACTCATCTATATGTATTGGGCACCCCCAAAATGTAGCCAGGAAGCTGAAAATGAGCTCTACAGAGCTGCCAGGCTCAGTACATTTCCAGTTTCTGGTATTAACCATAGTAAATAAAATAAAATGCTTGTTATACAGAAGTCAGATATGTAAATTAGGTAAAATAATATTTTAAATTTTCCTTTGAGGAAACTATAAACCTCTTGAAAATTTTGCCTTTTTGTGCTAGTTCTAACTATATATTGGCACTAATTTTTTAAATATTATTTTAGAAAATGAATTGGAAGGCTTGATGGTCGATATTTTGGATAACCTCGAAGGGAAAAGGCTGGGAATGAGGGATGAGGATGATACGAATTTCTTTCTCAAAGCAATGGAAATCGCCTCCTTCGTGCTCAGAGACAAAGAGCTCGCTTATAAAATCGACAGTCTCCTTCATTACGAAGATAACTACAACCTACTCGGAGCATCTTTCAGAGAATCAGTTTATTAGTGAGCTGAATTTGTAACGATATTGTTTTTTCTTTTTTTAATTGTTCATTGATTTACTAACTTTTTGAAATTGACTTCAGCCGTTATTTCTTTACAATAATATGCGGAAGTGAGTCTTTTGAGGATTTCTTGGAACTTTATGACAGGCTCGTACCAAATGTTTACATTCCTGAGCCCAAAGTTATGTCCGTGAGTATTTGATAAAAATAATTATTATAATTAGGATATTAACATATAAGTAAAATTTCATATTGAGCAATATTGTTTATTTTTAAACCAGATTATTTTGTATGTTCAAATAAATTACATATTTGGGGTTGTCGTCAGTGGACGCAGTGGTTAAGGTGTTACGGCAACTCATTGAAAGCAGTTCAACATTTTACAAATAATTTTAAAAAAACTCTGGCACCCCAGATGTTGCAAACCCCCATAAAAAATTATAATTATTAATGATTAATTATGTTCAGAAGTTAATCCAACTTGCTTCTGTTTCCAGGATATTTTAATGGCCGTTGAAACTCAAATGGCCTGGGAGCATCTTCGTCGCCTGTGGTCAGACATGGTTTTGTTCGAGCATTCCGATAGAATCGAGCTGGTAGAAAAAGTTCTTGCCATAGCGGTCGATTGTTCCATCGACACCCTTTACGAGGATATGGCTCAAATTGGTTGGTCGGTCTGGCAGAAAATCGAGGCCCAGTTTGAGGCAAAAAAAATCCGCACGAACAATATAGAGTATGCTTATCCCTGTCTTTTTTTTTTTTTTTTTTTTTTTTTTTTTTTTTTTATATACTTGCATCGTTATTTCAGAAGGACTGGAGGTATGCTTGGTCAATTGTTAACACTTTTCGTAAGAGCGGGCGAACTTAGCAAGGCACATCTCATCATGGATAAGTTGTTGAGGGATGAAAACAAGATAATTGGAGAGCCGGATATCAAATCAATTGCGATGTACTTGGACAGCTGCATTGCAAACAAGTCCCCTGATACTGCCATCGTGAGTACACTTAAATCCATAAACAATTTTTTTCAAAGTTTTTTAAAACCAATTTCTATTCCAGAAATGCATCAAATACTGCAACACCATGGGCTTTATCGAGGCTACGGCATTTGCCGTTAAACTTAACAAAGAATTGGATTTAAATGAAAATCAAAAAGCAAGATTGTCTGCAATTGTAGGCAATGAATGTCTCGATTCAGAGAGTTAATTTAAAAATACGGATGTAGTATTTTTTATAGTTTAAATTTTGTACATTATAAGTATTTAAAAATCTTTTTATTTTTTTTTTTTTATTTGGCCTAATTCTTAACTTATGTTGAATGTAAAATGCTTTCTTATACCAAGTCATTCTTCTTCAATTTCTTCTTACTATTTAAGAAAATAAATAATCAAAAAATAGCCAACGGGTCATGGATTCAAATTCTATATACATAGGTTGTTCGTAAAAATGTCTGTAAGTAGGATGAACTTGCCGGGGAAACATTTAAAGTAAACTACAAATATTTCTTGAACCGATTAAAATTTTTATGAACATCTCACATAGAGTACACTACTTAGAAGTAAAATTAATGTTAATTATGATGTGGGGCACTAATGTGGCAACACTGGAGTAAAAATAATTTTTAGTGTTTCTTATGCAAGAATTATACAACAGCAAAAATTTTAATGTGGTTAAGGGAGAACGTGAAGCTGTAGGAGCTTGTCCAGGATTGTCAACAAAAAACTAAAAGAAAATTAAATTAAAGTGTTTAAAATTTTTGCCAATTACTTGAGTTGAACTCTAAATTTAAAAAAATTTAAAAACAAAGAAAACCAAGGTCTATCGTGGTTTATCAAACGGAAGATTTGAGATAGCCAACTTTTTAGTTGTTCTCACCATGTGCAAGAATGTGGTGGCACTGCAGCAACAGTGGAGTAAAAACTTTTTTAGCTGTTCTGACCATGTACAAGAATGTGGTGGCACTGCCGCAACACTGGAGTAAAAACTTTTTTTAGCTGTTCTGGCCATGTGCAAGAGTATGTAGAGGCACTGCAGCAACAGTGGAGTAAACTTTTTTTAGCTGTTCTGACCATGTGCAAGAATATGTGGTAGTACTTCAGCAGCACTGCAGTAAAAACAGTTTTTGAGTTGAAAACTGAATAAGTGATTAGGGTTAAATGATATTTGAAAGAAAAAAATGACAACAAATGTATTTATAAAATTCTTTACAGTTACTAGGGGTCGCAAAATATACAATGCATCTATCCAGTTGCGACCTCTTCGTTCTTCGGTTCGACTATTTCATTTTTAGGAGGTAGTTCTTTCCTCGCCAATCTACCATGGTAAACATTGCAATCCAAATCGATGCAAAAATTATAATCGACAGGGTTTGCCATGGCGTGTTCAATCACTTCATCTATGTTCTCATTGGTTATATAATATTTCGATCTCTCCTGTAAAAACAAAAACAATAAAAATCATTCACTTTAAAAAAATAGTGTACAGGTTACCTTTTCCTCTCGGACTAGTCTTTCTGCTTCTTCTTTCTGTTTTTCAAGTTGTAACCTATTCTCCTCAATCTGCTTAAGTGTTTCTTCCAATTCCTTCTCCTTATCCTCGGCAAGGAGTTTTTCTCTGAGTTTAGCGACACTTTGGTTCCATTCGTCATTGATCCTGATGCACTTGAGGTGTTCGTCCTCCTCGCGCTTCTTCTGTTCCATGATGACACTTTCACCCGTTGTCATCTCTTGTATCTTATTATGGAAAAATAGTCTGCAGGAAATAAAATAATTGTTTGTTGTAAAAAGATTTTTTCACTAATTTATCCTGAAATCTTATTATTTGTGGGTACAATAAAAGCCAGCATGGAACAAGGGATCATTTTTGGTCCCATCCTTTATATTTACTGCTGATTTTCTCTCCCAACACCATCATTACCACCCGTGTAGATGCAATGCTGTAGTTCTGTGTTTGTTTGTCTGTTAATCCTATACAAGCAACAAAGGACTGGTGCAAAAATAGAGGACAAGTCTGAATGAGAAAAAATGTACCCAGTATACGTTTCAAAACACAGCCTTGCCCTCCACTGTATATCAACATTAAAGAGGCACCAAATTCCACTTAAGTCAGATATTTAAAACCTAGATAGCAAAGAGATATGGAATACCCATACAAGACATAAGGGGTAACAGCTTAAAAGAACACTTGGACAACTTTACAACTGGACAACAAAGACTTTTAGGACCAAAATATGTTTTGACCGTCCAAACTCCACTCCATACAAGACATTACTGCAAACAGTTTGGATGTGAAGTTTATAGGGTTAGGGATAAAAGAGATGGCCACAAGGCCTACTGCACCTCGACCTGAGTAGATCTACTGTGCTCCCCTGTTATTTATAACTCACTGGCCAGCTTTAGGTTATTAACCAGCCTCCACAGCTTTGCCAGTGGCACCTTAGTGTAGGATCTTGCTTGTTGTTTTCTTGTCCTAGTTGCAAGTACCTGCACCTACATAGACCTTCATAGAAACATAGAATGTATTCTGCGGTCTCCTCCTCTTCCTGGAAGTATCCGCACAGTTGTTTCTTCTGTCTGTACTCCTAACTGGTGCAAGTGCTTTCTTAAGTAGCAGTGCCCGGTCAGGAGTCCAGAATCCTAATCCGGTTGCGGTTGCGTTCAATCAATTATTTTGTAAGTCATGCGAATGGTCCTTCTATGAATCTCTTTAAATGCCTCATATATGTGGCATTGTTCCCCCAGGTTTTGGATGATGGCAGATCCATTTTAAGATGTATCCTCATTTGTGGCAGGCTGCTAAGTTGCAGTAGGGTTCTGGGCCAAGAGAGTCCATGTTGGCCTCCTATTTGGCCAACATGTCAACCTTTTTGTTGCCTCTATGCCCCAAGTCCTAGAGACCCTTGCCAGTCATTAAAGTCGTTGCCATCTGCCAGGGCCTCCTTTCCGTTCCAAACACTCTTTGCCTCCACCCCATATGAAGCTAGGGCCTTTAGTGCTGCCTGGCTGTCAGAGAAAATGGCTACATTCCGGGAATGTATTCCTAGCTTTTTTATTTTTCCGGCACATTGTTCAATCTCTATGATTTCAGACTGGAAAACTGTGGCATATTTACCTAGGTTTACCGTCAGTTCGGTCTTGGTTCATCCCGAAGACCCCAGCTCCTGTCACATGGAGTGGAACTCTACGGTTTCTCTAAGCCATCTAACATCCAGTGCATCCAATCCTTTTAATCAAAAATGCTTAGATATACTGAAAAAGCTCTTTACTACACTACAAACTTCATTATCTACAATGACCTCAACATTCCTTTTTGTCAACATAATCTGATCTCAGAAGTTCCACACCAAGCTTTTGATCCATTTTAACCCTACTAATCGAGCCCTCTCAACACTTTCCCATCCTGAGAAACCACCAAATCACCTTAAACGATGATATTTGCCGCTTAATCCTTCATTTTGAGAGTCAATTTTGCTGGTTTCTTTTAGTAAGTGTCCTCCAGTTACTGTGCTGGCCATAGTGTCAATGTTGTGACCATGATTTTTAAAAAACAGATGAACCAGTAGTTTTGGCGTTTCTGATCATTTTGGTCTGTCAAGATGCATTTCTGCTTTATTCACCGGTAAAGATAGCAAACGGCCAATATGCATCTCACAAACAGCAAGAGAGGCAAAATTATTGGAAATGGCCAAAACACAGGTTTATCAAGTAAGAAATATCAGAATTTTCAGACATCCAGATGACCCAATGCAACTCAATTTTCAAAGAAGTAACCGTAGCATAGCCATTGGTAGCCACAACGGTTTAGGCATTGATACGGCGCTTATCACTGTAAGGTAACGGGTTCAAATCCAGCAGCCCTGCATTTGAACCTGACAAACTTACAAATGGGGTTTTTTTTTCAAAAACGCAGATACTTGGCGGTGCATATAACCTCATAGTTGAAATCCCCTCGTAAAAAAAACTAACCATATACCAATAACCATTTTATGAAGAAAATGGTATAACTTTAAAAAGAAGGATTCACAATAAACTTGATATGGCATAGCATACCCAACCGAAAAGGATGTATGATTCTGCAAAGACTCAGGCGCGTTAGCTAATCGGACTACACCGTCCGACTGAAATTATTATTATATATTATTAAATTATATGAGTAGCGTAGCATAGCCATTGGTAGCCACAACGGTTTAGGTGTTGATACGGCACTCATCACTGTAAGGTAAAGATCACGAGTTCGAATCCAGCAGCCCTGCATTTGAACCGGACAAACTTACAAATGGGCTTCTTTTTTTTTCAAAAACGCAGATACTTGGCGGTGTATTTAACCTCATAGTTAGAATAAAAAACTAACCATATACCAATAACCATTTTATGAAGAAAATGGTATAACTTTAAAAAGAAGGATTCACAATAAACGACATGGCATTGCATACCCAACCGAAAAGGATGTATGATTCTGCGAAGACTCAGGCGCGTTAGTTAATCGGACTACACCGTCCGACTGAAATTATTATTATATATTATTATTAAATTATATCAACTTCATTCATCACCCTCACCTAATCGACTTAAATTCCGTCCTGTAAATATTGTGCAATTTTTTTAGCTCTTCCCTCTCCTCCTTGGGCTGCGGCTTCCTCTCGGGTATCCTGAACATTTTGCTCTTGGCGACCGGGAGCCACCTAGGCTTCGTCCTCCACCTGATGGACGTCTCGCCCAAGGCTGTTACGAGCCTGTTGGCGTCGCGGCATCTCGCTATTTCGCCCTGAACACGGCTGAAAACATTCGTGAGCATTATCACAGGGTCAGGATCAGCACACAAACATTGAAATTTCAAACCCCGAGTTCGATTCTCGTAAGGTTTCCAACCATGTTGACCAAATATCCGGATCGGGAAATAAATGTGTTATTGTAGCAAAATAAAAATTGGACGTATTTCACTTTGACATTATTTAACATTAACTTTAATAAAGAAAAAAGCTCCTATAATTAAATGAAAATGACGTTTTGGAGAGTATTAGACGGTCCAACTATATGACCATACTATCAAGTATGAAATACATAAATATACAAAGCACAGTTATCACATTATATTATTTCAAATCATAGAAACTGTATATAACTCTTATGTAAAACCAGTCTTTTTTTATACATAAATGCGTATAATTTATATCATAAAGACTTAAAAGTGTGAAATTCAAAGCTGAGGAAACAAAATGAATTAAACATGTAAGAAAATAAAACGAATTTTATTATTGCATCTAATATATAATAAATGGACATTAAAACAAGTTTTGCAATTCTTCAGTAATTTTGATTCCTAATGAAACTTCTAAGTACTTAGGTGTTTTCTAACCTCTTCAAATCCCATTTAAAAGAAAATTTTAAATTCTGTTAATTTTGGTTAAATTACATTTGTTTCTGAATTAATTATTTTTAACATGCTTTTTTGCTTCTTACCATCTTCAGTGATGGTTCTGTGTCGATTTAGTCAAGGCCCTTTTTTTAAGTTCTTGCAACAAAACTTCACAATGTTCAGTGAATTACAGATAACTCGACAAAACTTCATTGTCACTTTTTGTAAATAACGGTTCCACGCGTAGATTTGTTGTTTATAATGAATGGGTTTCAAGCATTAACACTGATCATCAGGTGGAAGGAGTTACATCATTTCATCATTCCTGTAAGCTTTATTTTTTCATTTCCAATTATTGTACAAATCTTCATGATCTTCACCGATTCAACGTAATGAATTTGTCTACTTGTAGTTTGGTCTTTTCTCAATTTGGCTATCCTTGCTGTTTGGATCTGTGAGTTGCATTTTGGCATTTTGTTATCTTCATTGATTAATTAAAGCTGAAACATCTCTGGGAGACCAAATCAAAATGGTCAGATACACCAAAACTGCAGCTTTATTATCCCACTGATCGCAAGAAGAAATCTCAAAATTTCACATCCAATGAATTCCAGTCAACCTTATGACACTTTGCAATAAACAAAGGCTCAAAGACTATACAGCAAAATTTCACAGAATTCAATGACTTTTAGATGGAAACTTAATGTTTTACAATATTCAATAACTCACATTCAACAAAACATCATGATGTTGAATGAGTTGCAGATGACCTGATAAATAAATAAATATGACCTGATGAAACTTTGTGATATAGTCGAGTCTAGGACAGATGCCTAGTCGTGAAGATGGCATGCGCTTTTTCATTTTGGATTAATTCAGAATGATATCTATTTATAACCTTCAAACATTTACTGTTGAACACTAATTAATTTTTTTATTGGTCTGCTGCCCATGTTTCGATCAATCAGCCATTTCTGCTTCTCTCTATCATCTGGGCTGGGACTGTGTGATCTCTATTTAGTCGAGTTCCTTTTATAATTGCATATAACCATTGTTCAGTCGGTTGTAGATAATCCAACAAAACTTCGTAGTATCCATTCACTTAAATTATTGAACAAAATTTCACAATCTTCAAGATTCACAAAGTGCATAATAAATTTCTCCACCTGTCGTTTGGTCATTTCTGGTGACTTTGGGCTGCTATCCTCACAATGTGTGATCTGTGAGATGAAATTTGGATTTTTGCTACCCTCAGCAATAAAGCTGAAACATATCGGGCAGACCAGATCAAAATGATCAGAAACAACAAAACTGCACATTTATCAACCCACAGACTGCAAGACGAAATCTCAAAATTTCATAACATTAAAAGATTTCCAGATTACTCTATGAAACTTCACAATAAACTAAGACCTAAAAAATATACAGCAAAATTTTATGGTATTCAATGACTTGTAAATGAAACATCAACATTTCACAGTGTTCAATGTGAGACATTCTTCAACAAATCATCATGATGAATGAATTGTAGATGACCAGAAAAAATTTTATGATATAGTCAATTCTAGTACAAGTCAAATCCTTGAAGATGGCATGGGCTTTTTCATTTTGGATGCTTTCCAAATGATACTACTTTAATGTCCTACAAACAATGTTGAACACTAATCATTTTAAAGTTTTCTCTCCTCCTTGCTGTTTTGGTATGTCAGAGGCGTTTCTACCATCTTCAGTGCTGGACCTGCGTGATCTCTGTTTAGTCGAGTCCCTTTTATGAGGTGGAAATAGGGAAAGAAGTGTAAATAATGTAGGTATTTTTTAACACCTTCATATACCTTCAACTCACATTTGACAGAAAATTTAAATTCTGCCAAATTTGGCTAAATTTAATCCTAAATACAAAACAATATTTTTTTAGAGTTAAATATAAGTAGTCAAAGTGATTTCAAGATAGATCCATTATGTTTTATGCCGCTCAGTTGTGTTGGTTCAAAAGAAATGATTAATTCATTTATGTTTTAGTGGTCAATTGATCAAGTTACTTCTTTTTTTTTTTTTTTTTGTTTATGTAAAATCTTTTTATGTTGAAAATGGCAAAAAGAAGGAAAATTCGATCAGTTGTAGGTTGAGATGGAGAGTTGGTATCCGAGAGGATCGAAGTCATGATAGCTCAAGTGGTAGACCAGCGGCGTATTTAATCAAAAGTCGTGGGTTTGAATCTCGCTCGTGATACTGACTTTTTTATCTCAACCAAAACCTTACATAAAAGAATAATTAATTGAAAGAAATGATTATGTAGAAATGCAAACATTCTCCCGAGTTCTGAATAACTTTTAGTCATTGCTGTTCTGATTTGTGGCATTTTGCTATCTTTAGTAGTTCATTAAAACTGAAACGAAACATACGAATGAACTGAACCAAATCAGTAAGCCAGAATAGACCAAAATGATTCAAAACCACCAAATTGTACACCTCTTTAAGAAATCTCAAAATTTCACAATATTCAATTAGTTCCAGATAACCCAAATAAATTTGACAATGACAGTTTTGAGGACAATGCAAAAATTTTTAAAATAGTTTAGTTATTAAAAAGTTTTGGCCAAATTTAGAAAATGTCATGGGCTTTTTTGAATCATTTCACAATTTGTGTACAACAAACTTTTCTGATTTTCAAACAACTTTTTGGACTTGGTATAGTTTCTTTTCTTCCACATGACCATATGAAACTTCACAATAATCCAAGATTCAAAGACTATACAGTAAAATTTCATGGCAATAAATGATTTATAGATCTGCTATGTTTTATGCCACCCAATGGTGTAAGTTTAAAAAAAATGATTATGTAGAAATTTACAATTCCTCATATTGTTCAACAAAACATCATTATATTGAATGAGTTGCAAATGGCCCAACAAAACTTCATAGTCTAGGACACAGATCCCGAAGATTGTAAAACGCTAAAACACATCTCACAGACCAAACCAGTGAAGATAAGCAGACTACAATGGTCAAAATCAATTAAATTACACTATAATATTTTTCAAAGCTCCATCTCCTAGGAGTTGTATATCACTTTAATTATAATTTATTCTGTTTTTGTGTTTTTATTGCATTAAGATTAATTACTTTTTTTATATATATTGTATGTGTTCTTGAAGAGGGGAGCCAGATAGGCCCACAAATGCATTGATATTAATAAATAAATAAAAAAGTTGAAGCAGTTCATGAATTTTTTTTATCAATATAAATATTTCTTTATTTTGTAAGTTTCTGGCTCATCGGCCCATCCTCCCCTATCAGATTACTACTGGCAAGGCTTATAGAAATAACTTTAAGTCCATTTTCTTTTGATGCATCGAAAAATTCACCATATCTGTAAATAAACATATTATTATTATTATTGGCTACGTTGATTCAGCCTTATTTTATGGTTTTGATTTTTTATGGGACAAAGTGTGCTCCTTAGTATTTGTCATTTATTCCCAATTATTTGCAATGTCTTAAAAGTGTTAATTCAATCTTTAATCATCAATGTTAAACATTTTGGACTTTCTTGTTTATGTCCTTTATGTCAAAAAAAAAAAAAAAAATCCTGCAATTAAATGAAACATTGAAGAGATAATTGTTGTTCAAACATCCATTGCATCAGAAAAATTGTATTTCCAAGACAGTAAGTAACAGTATTATATTAGTTGTTATGTTAAAAAAAAATTTATAAATAAATTTTTTTTTTTAATTGTTCTGTGGCAACATAAATCACTTGAGACCAATTATATTAAGAGCACCTAATAGTAATAATAAAAAATACGATTAATTTATATTTGTGTTCAGAAATATTATAATATTTTGTTTGTCTTAATTTCGCATGTAAAACCTGATTGGTTCTTCAAGGGTAAATATTTGTCAATATAATTGGATGGACACGAAAGATAATTCAGATGATTTTAAATTTCTTAGTTTCATTCCGTCTCTCGGGCAAGAAGGAATCGTTGCTATCATGATAACGAATCTGGTTGTACTTCTACTATTTATCCACCACATTTATGGTAATATAGTCTTTGTAAAAATTCTTATTTTTTTATCCAATTGCTAAATTTATTTCATTGACGATGAAATTTACAAAATTTCATTTTTTTACGGGGTTTTCTCAAGTTGTCCGATTCTTAACTTTTGGATTAAATCTTATAAAACTTACTTTGCTTTATTATTAACAGTGCTAGAGCACTATATTAAACTCTTTCGTCGTTATTGAATTTTATAAAAACTATTATTTTATATTAATAATATTTTCAAACAAGGGAGAAATATTTTTATTTGGTGGATTGACGCCCTCTTCCCCTGGTAATCATTTGCCAAATCCACATCATCTTTTTCCTTCATAAGGAGGAATTTGTGAAGCCATTGGCACTTTAGGCATCTTATAGGATTTTGTCAGGTAGGATTCAGGATGAAAGTCGTACGACTAGGGGGTTGTGATGAAGTTCCAGTGTTTTATGAAAGCGTCTGTACCGACTTCTTGCCATTTTGAGGAAAAATTGGATTGAAGGCCTTATAATTTATCTCTGCAATTGTACAAGATGATGCCAAATTATGATGCCAATCTTGCCTTTTTAAATGATTTATAATCAATGATGCAGAAAATGATTATTATTGAAAAACTTAAACTACCACCCTGTAGCAAATAGTTTTTATTTTATTTATTTATTTTTTAGTTTCTCGCCTTTTGTAAAAAAAAAAAAAGAAGAAGAAAAAGTTTGCCATTAATCCTCTTGAATTCTTTTCAATAGCACTCTTCTTGAAGAGTTGGAACATCCGAATACAATTATCTTTCAGAGTGGTTATCTACGATCAAACAATTTAATTGAAATGCACTTAGACAAAGGTGAAAACTGTTTGTTTATACAAAGGTGTTTCATAATATGTGATATATCTATTAATATTCATAATGAAAGATAAAAATGGTGGGCCCATGAAATAAAAGGTCAACATTTATTTTCTGTCAATATTGCTCAAGAACAAGACATGTTGGGTTTATTTGCCATAATTAATAGTAGTTACTTTTCCAGTTGACACTTTGTTGTTGTTGTTTTTTTTTTTATGTTGCTAAATTACATAAAGTTTTTTGTGAAATATTTGTTTTATCTTACAATTAATTAAGGTTTTCAGTTGAGATAAAAAAAGTCAATGGAACGAGCAGTATTCGAACCCACGATCTTCGGCTAGATACGCCGCTGCTCTACCACTTGAGCTATCGTGACCTCGATCCACTCGGACACCAACCTCCCATCTCAACCACACCTTTTGAATTTTCCCTCCTTTTTGTCATTTTTCCATTTGCCATTTATTTGTTTTATGTCAAACATTACTATGAATCAGCCCCTCTACAATCTTGCTCACAGGGACCATTATTGGGTCTATTGCACAATCCTCACAATTGGCCAGGAGTAGGAATTTCAGTAGAAAACAAGAAAACATGTTCCCACATGTAGAAATGTGTGGTGATTAGTGACCGTTAGTCGATGATTATTCGGAAATTGTGAGGTGTGGTCTGGCATGACGTAGGTTTTAGAAAAAAAAATTCCTTTATCGTGCCAACATTTCAATCTTTATTGAGATTATCTTCAGGACTCAAAGTGTTTGTTTTCTGCGTAATTGCGCCATTCTTGTGTGTCGTGTTGAGAGTCTCTCAAGAAGCACAATTATGCAGAAAACAAACACTTTGAGCCCTGAAGATGATCTCAATAAAGATTGAAACGTTGGCACAATAAAGGAAATGTTTTTCTAAAACCTACGTCACGCCAGACCACACCTCACAATTTCCGAATAATCATGTTCCCACAGTTTCCTCTTGCACAAGCTTGTTTCTGCACATATACCCAGAGTCTGCAGTACTACTATCATTCTAATCCTAGCACATCTTAGGATGGTTCTGTGATGGTCCTTTGCCGAACTTTTTTTGCATGTCTCTGTCCTGTAATACAATCTCATTGTATGGGTGTAATTCCTAATCCATTGTCTGATGGATCTACTTTTTTGGCAATTTGGTATATCATTTTAGAGACCAGGGTTCTTGATGGCCCTGAGAAGAGCCGGCGTTATGGTTGGAATTGATGGTCGTAGTATACGTATTAATGTCGATGAGCCGCATAGGTTCTTGAGAGTGCGAGAAATGATGTTGTGAGTAGTGCTTAAGACTTGCTCCATTAGTGATAGTTGAGCCCATGTAGACGAGTCTGAAATAAGCAGGTTGAGCTCCTGCTTACATACAAGGCACATAGAAATTATGAAATATGGAGTGGGTGTGCCGTTCAATCTTTCTTAAAAAGATGGTTCCTACTTACAGTAAGTAGCTTACTGTGAGTAGGAACCAGGTGAGACATGTTGAAGCAGTGGTGACACTGGATAACTTGTTAACCTCAGGTAGACACCACATCACAAAATGGTTCAGAGCTAATAGGTGTCCTCATAGAACTTTCCTTAACCAATTTACCATCCTTTTCTGCCCTGTATGCCCTGGTACCCAACTCAAGGGGTTGTTGTTTGCAATCTCTGACAGAGTCTTGATGCAATCCCAAAATGTGGTCTTTACTACCGATGAAAGATAAAATGGTCCAAAATCTTGGGGTTTGTGAACAAGTCGAAGAGTTTATGCAGGACACGTGAGCCAATCAAGTCCCGGACCATTTAGGGATGGGGTACGAGTCTACCCAGGCATTTAACCCCTCAGGTCATGGTCGCCCACCCTGCATAATATATATACTACCGATGAGATAGATGCCTCGAGTGCCATTTGGTTATTCTTTTGTTGATAATATCCAGCCTTTAGATCTCTCTGGCACAGGGTTCAGTAGCCTGATGACAATGGCATTCCAAGCTTATAAGAATTCTAGAGCTTAATTATTTTCATAGATGCTACCTCCTGACCCTATCAGATATATTATTAAACTAATTAGGAACCCTTTCTCCCAGTCTGCTCTATATCTGAATTTGGATTTTTTGATCAAACCTGAATTTTGGAATGATGGTGTTGACAGGCCAGAATCCTGTCCACCTAAGGTTTTGCCCAAAGCCTTAACTATTTATTTATAGATATTATATTTGTTTCTTGTTTAAATTAGTTTTATTTTGTTAATACTTGTTAAAGGTTGAATTTTCCTCAAGTATAAATGATAACTTGTCTCAAATTTCATTAAACGTCACCTGTATGCCTGTCCCTAAGAACACAAATAATCATAATTATAAATTCTAGGTTTTATTCTGTCACCGTCAATAATGATTGTTAATGGAATCAACAATCAGTTAGGTAAGATGCATTGGATTGACTCTGTGCCAATAAATTACGTTTAAATAAATTTTTTAGGCGATCGTCCTTTTATAGTTTCTTTACAAATGAATCACAAGCATATCTGCGGAGGCACGATAATCAATCCGAATAGAATCATTACAGCAGCACATTGTGTTTTTAATATAAATAATATATCTTTATTAACAGTAAGCTATCAGTTTTGAAAAAAAAAATTGTGATTTGTTTTCTCACTTTGACCTATTAAATTTTTAAGGCAGTTGCAGGAGTTGTCTCTCTATCTGATCATCATGCTGGGTCAAAACAAGAAAGAAACGTATTGCAAGTGGTTGTATATCCAGAGTTTAATTGGTAATTTTACGACATTATTGCAAAGAAAACTTGGTTAAATAAGATTTTTTAAGGCATTGGATAACAAACGACCTGGCAATTCTAGTTGTGGACTCTCCCTTTATTTTTGGCCTTAATGTTCGGCCAATAAATCTTCCTCCTGCAGAATATAACACCACAGGTATAATTTAAAATACATAAATATATTAGTAAATTATATATATGTACATTTTTAAATATTGGGACCATGGTGGCTGAATGGTTAGGGCATCCAACTTAATTTTTATACTTGCATCTTATAATAGTATTAAAAAAATATTGTAAAGTGAGTCTGACCTCTCATCCATGACACCCGACAGTTGCATAGTATAAAGACAATTACTTTAGTTTAAATATTAAATAGTTTTTATTTCATCAAAATGTACTAGCATAGAGATGTTCTTTTACATCCTTTCCAAGTGCCAAGAGAATCACTCGACGATCATGCATCCGGTTCCTAATCCATCTCAGGATACTAGTCGCCGTCGAAACTCCCCACCAGTTACCGGATGAGATATGTCTCCGGCTGGATGTCATTGCCACCGGCAAGGATGGAGCATTTGTTCTATACCTTGTGGTGGTTTATAAAATTCTTAAAAATATGGGGTATTGAGGGAAGACCTCATGGAGCTGCACCACAAAATTTCTTTAAGGGGTGTAGTAGTGAGGGCAAGAGGATGCATATCTCAGCGTAATAGAAGACGCTCAGAAAATCAGCTCCTGAGAATGTTCCGCTGAGATCCTCACTCTCCATAGCCTGTGCTCATATGGGCAGATGGGGAGCAAGTGCAGCTTCTTCGTCCAAAGAATGCGCTGTCGAGCAAAGTACCTGAATGCGATGGACCTGCACAAAAGAAAGTGAAAAACCAGCGAATGCCAGAAAGAGATTTTATTTAAGTTCAAATCACAAGAAAAAAAATTTAAAAAATAGTTCTTCATTAAGACATCCTATAAGACAGAAATTAGTTTAGTTTATATACTAATTAGTTACTATTTCATCAAAATGTACTAATTAAATTTGCCTAGTCTACAAATGTTCAACAAATTAAAATTTAATCCAAAGGTAGAAAGCAAAGAGAGAGAAATGATTTTTTTAAAAGAAAAATTGTTTGTTTAACATTCAAAAAGATGTGACAATTAAATAGCGCTATAAATTCATGCTTTTGCCATGGATGAAAATTCTTAAACTGCTCAATTTTTCCATTTTCACTAGAGGAATAATTGATGGCGAATACAATTTTAATTGGGAGATTTCTTCCTGTGGTGTGCAGGATGATGAACGTGTAATTTAATTTTTACCTGGCTGGTCTGCCTATCTGGACACATTTCTGCACTTCACCACACACTAAATATGGCGAAATGCTGAAAAGCATCTGAGAGGCTAACCCAGCGAGGTAGGCAGACCAAGATGACCGGTATAGATCAAATTACAATTTCAATTATAATATGAGTAATAAGTGTGTAAATTTTTTTTTTATTGCATTAATAAAATGCAGCCCAAAACTCCTGCAAGGCAATTTCAGTTTATTCAGGAATCTGCTGATCTGTGCTTTCCAAAAAATCGGAACACAGGTTGGGCTTTTTAATAGCACCTTTTCTTCCTCAATGCTTGTTATTTTTCTAAACCTTTACAGCCTATGCTTTTGAATTATTCTTATTTGAATTATACAAATAGCCACGGTTCTACATAGCCTTCATCAGAGCCAAAAGATCACCTGGATAAGCTGTTCCATGTTGCCTTGGGAGATGTGGACTCTGATAGATAGACAGAAAAAAGTCACAAAATGTTGTGAGAAGTCTAATGGAAATTGGGATATGATTCTAGATTTTAACAGTCCCAACTTGGGACCATGCCCATGGGCGTTCGACTTTTGGTTTCAGCTTATTAGACATGACACTGCCTACGGCGTTCAACTCGTATTTGCCACACAAGCCATTCAGAGTTCGAATCCCCGCAGAGCCCACGGTTTTCTTATTGATTACAGTATGTAAAATATATTATAAATTGTAAAGTGGTTTAACCCCTTGTCCACAACACCCAACGGAGCCTACTGTATGTCAGGAATTACTTAAGTCCTAAGCCCCTTCAGACTACTGATCTTCTCGGCCAATGGGGTACAATAGAAAATGTCCATCCGACAGATAAGAACCAGTTAACCATTGAGCTCTGCGTGGAAGTGGGGTTATATTCTTGCCCCTTTATAACTCAAATTTATGTAGAAAAGCTTTAAAAAATAAAATAAAATAAAAATAACTATATGAAATTTATGAATTCCATAGGTACTAATCATCAATAATTAATTTATAACAGTTCCTCAAATATTTAGGTGCTGAGTATGTTGGTACTGCCAATTATGAGAGGATTTTCATAATTTTGAAATATAAATTTAAATTGTTTCTAGTTTCAAAAGAAAATCTTATGTCATAATTTATCAATGGTATTTTCATTTAGAGCATTTAATGATTATAATTGGTCCTTTAAATATAATATGCCTCTTTAAATGTACATTTTAAGTGGTTTTAATGGTTTTTATTTAATATTATTTTTTCTTATTAAGATGAGACTCGATACAACTCTTTGCAATCAGTCCCAATTAACTAGGAATTATACAGGTATGACTGGCACTATAAGCGGTTGGGGTGCGACGCAAGTAAATGGAATTTTGTCAGATCGTTTGAAATCAACTTCCATCCATATAATAAGCAATGATGAATGCTATGATTATTTTGGTGATGATGTAGATCAAGCATGGCTGTGCACAATGCAATTGCCGTCGTCCCTCTGTGATGCTTGCACGGTGAGTAAGACCGTCCGATCGAATTGAAATTGAATTATTTTGACGGTTTTTCAGGGAGACTCGGGGGGGCCACTTGTCTGCAATGATTTGTTCCTGTGTGGCATCATCTCATCGGGAATCGGCTGCGGTTACAGCACATTTCCGGCTGTCTATACCAGGGTGTCTTATTTCCATGATTGGATCAGAAATTCCCTTACTTTTCAGTAAAACCATGCAATCTATTCGATATATGTATTATAAGAACATATGAACATCACAGAATATTTATTATTATATTGAGCTCATAACTAAAGACATTACAGTTCTTAAAGCCTTTAGATATATATTTTATATGTTATGATTATTCATAAACTAACGTAAAATTTGTTAACATGTAAATACCATTCATATACAGTTTTATTTTATTTTCCTAAACCATTTTTTAAAGATTAATTACAATTAATCAAATAAATTCACTAATTTTGTGGTCCACTTGACCAATTAATATATTACAATTAATTAAGGTTTTTAGTTGAGATAAAAAAAGTCAATGGCACGAGAGGGATTCGAACCCACGACCTTCGGCTAGATACGCCACTGCTCTACCACCTGAGCTGTCGTGACCTCGATCCACTCGGACATCAACTCCTTGAAAAATGGCAAAAGGAGGGAAAATTCAAAAGGTGGGGTTGAGATGGGAAGTTAGTGTCCAAGTGGATTGAGGTCACGATAGCTCAGGTGGTAGAGCAGCGGCGTATCTAGCCGAAGATCGTGGGTTTGAATCCCGCTCGTGCCATTGACTTTTTTTATCTCAACTAAAAACCTTAATTAATTGTAATAAATTAATCAAATAATTGAAAAAGCCTGGGAACACCAGGTCATATTTTTGAAATTCATCGACTACTTTACAGTCCTTCGACTTGATAAGACACGACTTCCTTTTTAAGCCTTAAAAAGCAGAGATGAAGACACCAAACTCTTAAGGTATGGTGCAATAAGTAATAAGGTTAAGGTATAATAACTGTGTAGCTAGCAACTAGGCCAAATGAAGCCTAGAAATAGGCTTAAAACAAGGCAACCCATCCCCATTCTTTTTAATTGCAAAGAGTCATTTAGGCAACTGGAGTGAGAGGAAAAAGGAGTTAAAAATCAACCACACATATCTATCAAATAACCAAACCTAACCTTTGCAGATGATGAGGTTTTCTTTGCAAAAACCCAATCCAATTTTTAAAAAAAATTATCGAAGCACTTGATAAAGTAGAAAGTGTCTAATAGTAAAGTTTGACAAGACTGGAAGAAGAAAAAAAAACTGAGAAAAGCAACGAAAATATATTGTGAAACTTACACCTGAGGTCTGCAGGGTGATGAACCAGTAATTTGAACTTTGCCGATCATCTTGGTCTGTCTCAGACTCACTGAAGATGGCAAAATGCCGAAGCGCTTCTTCAAATCAAAAGGATGCAGTGATAGTCTGGGAATTCATTAGACAGTGGAAATGTGTGGTGATTAGTGACCGTTAATCGATATTTATTTAGAAATCGTGAGATGCGGTCTGGTGTGATGTAGGTTACACAAAGAAAAACACTTTGAGTGAGTAGAAATACTTTGATTGAATATATAAAAAATATATTTTGCATTGTATAAATTCACTTTTCGACATCCAAAATGTAATTGTTATATGTAAGCAATGTTTGTAAAATCCCAGGCCCTGAAGATGATCTCAATAAAGATTGAAACGTTGGCACGATAAAGAAAATGTTTTTCTAAAACCTACATCACACCAGACCGCATCTCACGATTTCTAAATAAAGATAGTGGAAATTTAAAAAACATTGCTAACTGTACTAAAATCTTCGACAAAGTTAAAATAATGGCTAAAACCATCTCTGATGAGAAAAAAAACTAGACTTAAAAACCTTTTAAAATAATTATTGAAAAGAGAGCTAATTGCAAAAATAAGACAAAAGTAGATAAACCTGGAGTTCTATAGAAAATTCTACATGTGGGCGAGCCTTATCCTGGTTTATTAGCTAATGAATTTTTGGTCAATTGGTGACGAAATGCACACTTTTTAATTAATAGTTAAGTTGGGCAGAAGCTCATAATAATACCCGTCTAATCCAATCCCACCAAATGCACAACATTAATTTCTTGGGATGTAATCTAGCTTTTGGAGTTGTTAACAGTCGGTCGCTGTTTTCTACAAGCTTTTCCTCTCTGAACATCATTGTAAATAACTTTCAATTAATTAAGATTTTTAGATGAGATAAAAAAGTCAGTCATGAGCGGGATTCGAACCCACGACCTTCAGCTAGATACCACTTGAGCTATCGTGACTTCGATCCACTCGGACACCAACTTCCCATCTCAACCCAACCTTTTGAATTTTACCTCCTTTTTGCCATTTGTCAAATGTCGTGTAATCTATTTGATTCTCGGCGACAAATGAAATGGCCACGGAGAGCTTTAGTGAAGATATACTTCATTTAACTTATTAAATTCACTAGTTTTTGTGGTCCACTTGACCAATTAATATCTTTCAATTAATTAAGGTTTTTAGTTGAGATAAAGTCAAAGTCACGATAGCTCAAGTGGTAGAGCAGTGGTGTATCTAGCCGAAGGTCGTGGGTTCGAATCCCGCTCGTGACACTAACTTTTTATCTCTACTAAAAACCTTAATTAATTGAAAGATATTAATTGGTCAAGTAGACCATGAAAACTAGTGAATTGTAAATAACCCAGTTAACAATATTTTTAAACATGGGTCATTGCCCCCAGTGTGGGCACTCTCAACACGACACGCAAGGATGGCACAATTACACAGAAGACAAACACTTTGAGCCCTGAAGATGATCTCAATAAAAGATCGAAACGTTGGCACGATAAAGAAAATGTTTTTCTGAAACCTACATCACACCCGACCGCATCTCACGATATCTGAATAAGTATTACAAATATATTACAATTAATTAAGGTTTTTAGTTCGAATCCCGCTCGTGCCATTGACTTTTTTATCTCAACTAAAAACCTTAATTAATTGTAATATATTAATTGGTCAAGCGGATGACGAAATTAGTGAATTTAAGTATTACAAATCTCGACCACTTTTCACTCATGAACACTAGATGAAAGTATGGTCTTGAAGAAAAAATCAAATTCACACGTTACTGCCAAACTTTTCTTAACCTATAGGGGGGCAAAACAATCTTAAATATTGACATATTTAAGATTGTATTGGCAAGGATGACATTAAAATAGGTCAAAAGCTTGGCAGTAACAGCTGAATTGGCTTTTTTCTTCAAGACCATACCTTCATCCAGTGTTCGTGAGTGAGTCGATACTTCTAATACTGAAAATAATAAATGTTTCTCACTTTCCAACAAACATATCTATGCTCTCAGATGTATGAGACATGTGTCCCAGCGATGACTCATACTTTGAGTAATTTGGTCATTATCGAAGGATGAAGGATGTCTGAGTGCAATATGCGATGATTGGGGTTATATCAAATTTTGAAGTCTGGTGTGATCAATGTTTCAAAAACACCAATGAACCAAGGCAGTAATTGTAATAAAAACATATATTTATAAAATAAGTAATATTCTTTATATTTAAACAAAATTTATTTACAAACTATTAGTTTTTTTTAAATATATATATTAGATACTTAATCTCTCTTTCTTTTTATATATCCCAACTATATATATGTACATTTTTTCAACTTTTTTAATTTTAATTTTAAAAAAAGAGTTTCGAGATAAAAGAACAATCCTAAATTTGGAAATTGTGAAATGTGTTACAATTAGCGTCGACGTCCTTAGATTTATAAAAAGGCAACTTTTATTATGGTGTTGCATCAATTGGCTGAAGTTTTCGGGGTTGCTTCGCACATCCAAATTAATTCAAAAGCAAATTAAAACAAAAACCTATCATTTCAGCTCTAGATTACAATATCAATAAATATATATTTTTTTAAATAATTAACAATACATTGTTAAAAAATACTATGAGCAAAAAAATGGTACATTTTTCTATGACCATATATTTATTTTTCACTTTAATATAATAAAAATTAATATTTGACATCCATTTATATTTATGTATATATCAACAATAATTAAAAAAAAAGAAAATGTTTTTTTTCTATTTGGTTAATGCAATAACTATAATACACAGGGGGAGAATAAATAGGATATACATATATTTATAATTACATAACAAAAAAAAACCAAAACCATTTACACAAAAATAAAAAAGAAAGAAAAGAAAAAGATAGCAAGAGGATACAATAAAGTTAGAAAGAAAATTTGCAATCAACAAATCTCAGTTATTCATGAATATATTAAACATACCCCGGGAAAAAATATTAATAACTAGTCAAAGAAAATTTGGCACTTTCAACTTTTTTTCGCAAAGAAAAATACTGATTAGTCGAAGAACAAGGAATAAAAGGAGGTTTAATACCAAATGAACAAGTAGAAAGACGTTATTACTTGAATTAATAATAATAATAGTAATAATAAATGTGATTATTAACAACAATAACAGCCACTGTACATAAAAAGAAAGTAATTATTTACACAAAGCAAAATGAAAATTTTAAAATTCATATATTTTTGTTTGTTTTTTATACAAAGAAACTAATTTCTACCCCCCCTTTTGTTTTAATAGTACTTTTTTTAATAAAATCATTTGTATTTGAAGCACTTTATGTTTATTGTGAGCGCTAAGAAATCTGTTAACAAGTGCAATAATGCTATAAGTCGCCTACCTACATTATAATGACTATGATGATTAAAACAGAAATTAAAATTGTAAACTATACATTTTATAGAAAAGAGATAAACAAACAGCTTTTTATTTTGAGCAAAACATTATGAAAAAAATTCTTATTTTTATCCTTAAGAATTATTATAAATTAAAAACAAAAAAATATTCTCTATTCCAAAGTAAATAATACAATATAAATCATAAATTACAAAATATCAGTATTTCGTAAAAAAAAGACAAAAATTTTGAAATTTTCTGGATAGTACTAAAATATCATTTTTGTTTATATTTTAAATTATTAATGGGAGGGGGATTTCAAGTCTGTCACCCTCACATTTTGGGGATGACACTTTCAGTCACTTTTGGAAAGTGAATGGGGCACACATTAGAATGCTGAGTGGGGGAGGTCGAAGGAGAGGAGATGTTGGAGTTGAACTGGAAAAAAGAGATCAGGTGTGTTCCAGACTCGATAACAGTTGCTCGAACCTAAAATAAATTTTACCATAATTTAGTTACCACCAGGGTGGGTTATATATTATATTATAAAATTATCAGTGTAGTTGCTGGTGAAAGTATATTCTCCCTAATGTTGAAGAATCCTATCAAGCAATCAACCAGGGTTTGCTACAGAACATCCAAGATTGTATGTGACTTATGTTAGAGAAGGCATGAAATTCTTTACATTAAAGTCACATAATCCAGTTAACACTGACTTGATAGCATACATAAACACCAAAATTGTTTGTGACGAACACTACCTTGGAGAACAAATGAATAACATGTATGAAAATCTGATGCTTCAAAAGTGCAATTCCGAGGCCACCATCCTAACTAACCTCCTGGCATTAGTGTATATTTCCGAGGACGAGTTTGCCTATTCATATAGAAAGGCACCGGGTTAGACTGCCCTGACTCGCGGAGAGACGATCCATCTTATACGATGTGTACCCGTAGAGGTATTGCCAAAGCAACACAAGAATGTTATCAAGAAATTGTCGTCGAGTACAATAACAACACCGCGTATCTTAGCCCACGTAATAGACTCTTTTAAAGTTATAGGATGTCCTATATTTTGACTGTCTTCCCCGGTGCAACTCCCTGAATCTTCACGCTCAAGAATTAAGCCCCATACACACCCATCAATTGCAACTTATCAGGCTCAGCATCGAATTAGGAGCATAGAAGAAGCCCACAAATGGAACCACGACAATGACCTTTCTACAGGTGTAGGAATACCCCGCAAACTCCAAGGGGCGTTTCTGGCTTTTGAGAGGGAGGTAGTGTCACCATCACATTTTGGGGATGACACTTTCAGTCACTTTTGGAAAGTGAATGGGGCACATTAGAATGCTGAGTGGGGGAAGGTCGAAGGAGGGGAGATGTTGGAGTTGAACTGGAAAAAAGAGATCACGTGTGTTCCAGACTCGATAACGGTTGCTCGAACCTAAAATAAATTTTACCATAATTTAGTTACCACCAGGGTGAATTGAGCGATTGTGCTGTATCGTTGTGTGGTTGCAGGTTGGAATTGGGGAGAAGAGTTAAACGTCTTAGTTACCCTGTTATAATTTCGGCTTAGTTTGTATATATATGTCTTGTAAATTTTGTCACACATCTCAAAGTCAACTTTTTTTTTTTTGTTTTTTTTTTTTTACCGAAAATCTAATCGGCCGACACAGATGACAGGCTGCTGCGCGTCGAGCTCCTGTGATGAACGGGTTCAGCCAGGTCGGCCGGGAGCGGGTGCGTCGGCCCGTATATCGCCTCTTGCTCCTCAAGCTGCTGCGCAAACTGTTCCTCGAGCCGCTGCAATAAGAAAATGAATGAGATTCCGATACAGATTCGAACTTGGATCGATTATACATCAGACTCACGGTTTACTCTTATATGTTTTAATCCGATTTTATTTTCTCACCCCTCGATGATTTACAAAAAAAAGGTGAAAGGTTGAGAAATAAAACATACAATAGGTGTAAACACAGAAGGCGAATTTAAATTTAAAATACTGCATTCAATCAATTAACATGCAAATTGACTTCACAATTAAGAAATTAGGCCCACACTTTTTACAAACAAAAGAAAAATAATTAATGGTTAGTATTTCCAAACACCTCAAATTCATTAGTAAAATATTAGAGAAAAAGACTAGAAATATTATTACAAACTTAGTGATATTTAATTTTTTTTAAAAATAAGAATAGATTAATTAGAATACATATAAAAGAAGAAATTAGTAAAAAGTTAACTTTTTATAAGTTAGTTTAGTACTATTTACATGTTTTCTTCGAGAAAACAAATAGTACAAATTTATACAAAGAAAAATTACAATTTTTGGGAGGGGAATTGGAGAGCAGGACTCTGGGTCACATAAGCTGATATCACTCATAAAGCACACTTTTGATTTTGGGCCTTGGGATTACAAAGGGCCTCATCGGCGGAGTGAATGACAGCGGTAAGGAGTTGGTACGGGATCTTGGGAAGGAGGGGGACGACTCGAGGGAGTCTGGCAGCGATACCAAGGCTAGATGTCCGAGTATGTAGTTGTTCTCCCTTTCGTGCATTAGTAGCTCCTCGTTGAACTTTAACTCCTGGCTCTGTTCAAATTGAAAAAGTTACAAATCATTTGTTTCTGAATCTGAAAAAACAGTTTTTCAGTCGGCGAACGAGCTGAAAATGATTTTACACAACTGATGCCAGAGTCCAAGTCCTTTACGATATGTATTTTATCTGTTTATGATTATAAATGAAAATAAAAAAAATAAAAATTGTTCCCAGAATAGAAATTATATAGCAGATATAAAAATAATTTGCAGGCAGGAAAAGAATTTGCAAACCTCCAAGGACTTCGGGTGCTGTATAAAAAAAAATTTATCTTACTAAATCTAAACCATGCCAAATGCTTGTTAGTGTTTTTCGTCAAACATGTGCAAATGTTTTTAACCTGTTTTCTCGGCTTGAGCAACCCCTTCCATTCTCGCAACTCCTTGCTGTACTCTTCTTCCTGGTCCTTTAACTTCATCGTCTCGTGCTCCATGAGCATTTTCCCTTTGAGAAAAAACAAATTAACAAAATCAATAACAACAATGTAATAAACTCAAGTTATTGATATTGATAATTAATTAAGGTTTTTAGTTGAGATAAAAAAGTCAGTGTCATGACTTCACAGGTGAGGTCACGACAGCTCAAGTGGTAGAGCAGCGGCGTATCTAGCGAAGATCGTGGGTTCGAATCCCGCTCATGACACTGACTTTTTTATTTCAACTAAAAACCTTAATGAAATGAAATATATTAATTGGTCAAGCGGACCACGAAAACTAGTGAATTGTATATTGATAATGATTCGTTTTTAGGAATGAGTTCTAGGGCTGTGGCCTGGAAGAACGCCCAAGAAGGTGACCTTGATTCGCAAGATAGTAATTTTTCTTAAAAAAAAAAAAAAAAAAAATATGCAAAATGCTTAAAAGAAAAATTACTATCTTGAGAAAAAAGATGTCTTGACCCGATCGGCCGTTGTCGCTGCTAATCCTTCTGGTATCCCAGTATTACAGCAGCGATAATAGCCGATCGGATGATAAAAAAGACACCTTGATTCTCAAGATAGTAATTTTTCTTTTAAGCATTTTGCATATTTTTTTGAAAAAGAAAAATTACTATCTTAAGAATCAAGGTGTCTTCACCTTTTTATACATTCTTACAGGTTGGCCACAGCCCTAGAACCCATTTCTAAAAATGAATCATAATATCAAGAAACTAAAAAAAATAACCTAAATTATGTATGTTTATGCCAGAAGGATTGCCAGCGATAACAGCAGATCGGGTGGCAAAAAAAAGCCTGGCTCAGCCGGATAGAGACAGTTAAGTTCGTTCTTTGATGTCACTTTTTCGTTGTGGATTCATTTTATTTTATCTAATTTTTATGTCAATCCGTTCACACTGGTTGGTGTTTCCGGGAGTAGTTGACCCATCCGGTGGATCGTCTAATAATCATCGAGGACTCGTGTTCTGAGGACGAAAGGTCCATCTTATCAAATCCAATCAGATTGTCATATTGTTGAATCCTTCCTGAACCCCCCCCCTGCACCTTAGTCCAACAGTCCACAGGATCGTAGGAGCAGAGGACAAGAGGTTGAGAGTGAAGTGTTTTTTTGTTTAATTTGACAATTTTTCTATTTATTTATTTATTTTTTCGTTATACAGTCCATTGGGTCGCCACTATTTCTGTGTATCAATTTTTGTCTTTCTTTTCAAATTTAGATTTCAGGGTTTTACAGATCCACATCCTTCTATTTCAGGGTTTTACAGATCCACATCCTTCTATTTCAGGAGCCATCCATCCAAGTATGTTAAGCCTACCTAGTATGCACTGAGATTCTTTGAATCGATTCATGTTGCGGGCCAGAGTCGGGGCTGCGTAGATTCATTGTTGCGATGCAGCCCCGACTCTGTTCTGCGACAAAGAACCATGTCCAGACCATGATTCTGTTCACATTCACCAGTGCCTGTGAAAATGACGGAAGAACCAGCTCTTTCAGGAATTTCCCTTGCTCTTTTTTGCATTGTACGTAGTGAATACAATCAGAGGTGCATTAAAAAATGCCCAAAAAGATTTGTGGGTTCAACAAATATTTCACGGCGGGAATCAGCACGGGAAAAATCTTTGGATACGTTGAGATTAAATGATGTTGCAGGGTTTAGAAATTTTTTGAGGATGTCCCCAACCGATTTCAAAACAATTTTAATGAAAGTTGGCGGTAAAATTTCCAAGAAAGATACCAACTTTCGGGAATCTATCTCTCCGGCCAACAGATTAGCTGCCACTCTCCGGTTCCTAGCGAGTGGAGACTCTTATGCAAGCCTCATATACACCTTCAGGATTTAAAAACAAACGGAACTGTCCTTTTTTAAAGTGTGTATTTTTTTCAATTTCGGTGATGGAAACACTGAATTTTTGGGCTAAACCATTCAATGTTTGGCTTTTCAATTCCAAATTTCTATATTCCGTGAATCATACATCCCACAAACACCGATGGGAATGCACGTCTTTGATAAACTCTAATGTCAACTCGGTACTCCACAACATACCTTTATACAAGACACTGTTAAAATCTTCAAGAAAACACTCACTACTACGTGAACAAAACAAATGAAGCAAGAGAGCTTGTTCCAATTCCGCACTGGCAAATGTTGCACAACATTCAAAGAATCCCAAATCAGATGGGATTCAAAAGAGTCCGAAAATGCTAGATTCATCGCAACAATGAGTTGGGGCAGCCCGGACTCAGGCTAGACGCAGCCGAGACTCTCCCGAGAATCAAAGAGTCGATTCAAAGAATCCCAGTGTGTACTAGGCCTTAAGAGCCTTAGTGATTTTTTTTCCAAACAATTATTATAAATAGACAAAATTTATATGCAACTGCATATTTTTTGGGTAACACTTAGGACCCCCATACATTGCAACTGCGACACAACATCAACTCTACTTCAGTGCAACTAGGCAGGCTACTCACGCCCACCACACACGTGACATCATTTCGATCTGTTCTCGACTTGCTTCCGATGCAAATCGTATTTGACTCATGTGATCTGCAGTGCACTGCAAAAATCGAGTGAGATGCGGGTTTCCGGTTAGCATCCCATGAAGGCTTGAACTTAAAATTTGTACAGGAAGTGGAAAAGCACCCTAAATTGAGCAATTACTCCCTCCCTGCTTATTCCAGAAAGGACGGAAGGCGAAGGTGTGGGATTTTTTTTTTTAATGAGTTGTTTGAATATATTTCTGTATATTTAATGATGATGTTACCTAGTACATTACGATGTAGCCACTTAAAAATTAAAAGCTACAAAAAAATTACTTTCCTGGTGCAACTTTACCATCATTTTTCTCAAAGCTAGTGGTCCAATTTTCATGGTTTTAAATTATTGTTTCATTTTAAAGAAATTTTCGGGGGGCCGCGGTAGCCGAGTGGTTAAGGCGTCAGACTCTCGGCTAGTAGATCCCGCGGTCGTGGGTTCGATCCCCACCGTCGCCTCTGGACTTTTTCTGACGCCTAAGGGGACCGGTGGCCGCAATTGAAAGAAATTGACACAGCACTCATCAATGGAAGGGGCGAGATCAGATCTCAGCGACCCTGAATTTGGTCCCAACCCCCTTCAAAAATGAGTTTCTTTGATGGAAGAACACCGGTACAACGGGGGCTCAATTCACATTGTGTTGCGAGCCCTCCCCTAAAATATGGAGCCAGGGATAAAGTACAATGAGCTGTACACTCAGTGGCAGTGCTCAGGAGGGAACTCCAGTCCCTGGTATCCAGTGGGAAAAAAAAAAAAAAATTCAAGTGTCAAAGTGCATTTTATAAGTTTATCGAACATTAAAATCGTACTATTATTTCCATTTCAAATAATAATAATAAATAATACTAGGTTAATTTATGACAAATAAATTTTCCTATTTTGTGAATTTTCTTGTAGAAATCTTTGATATATTTTTATGGTACATACATCATCAAAAAGCTACGTTCCTCTTCTTGTTGATGGTATGTTTGATGTTAAAATCCTTTTAGCCATTTATGAATTATTGCATTTTCAATCGGATATTCTGATAATGAATTCTTAAAAATGGGAAAAAATTTAGGAGTCAAACAAAAATTTATATTTAGGGGTCTCCAGAGATGCTAAAATTAAATTTCATATGTTTCATGGGGAAAAAAATTGTATGACCTAGTACTTGAAAAATATTTGGCTTATAGAAATTTTTTGGATATTGATAAAATTTGACAGCTTTTGGTATATTTTTATTGCAATCTATGTATTTAAAAAAAAAAAAATTCAACTTTCAAAATTTTTTTTTGGCAAAACCAGGGCCTTTTCGCAAGAAGTGGCAGATATCTGTCTGATATTTTGAAGTGAACAATAATAAAAAAAAGTTTGGTTCAAATCCTTGACCCACCAACCTGGTAGTTGTAAGGAGGGACTAAGGAAAAGTCGAGTTTTTTATAATTCAGCTATATGAAGTTTTACAAGAAACAGACTTTTTTTGCAGCTCTTCGCCATTGATGCTCACCTACTGAAAGGGTTAAAACCTTACATGCAAATACATTTGGCAATTTCCACTTAGCCTGGCTTTGGTGTAAAACCCAAAATAAAATTTTAAAAAACTTACTTTTTTCATTTTGGAGCTGTTCGAGTTCTTTGATCGTCGCTTCCGAAGTGGCTCTCAGCTCTTCGAGCTGCCTCTGGTGTTTTTGGTCGAACCTCTGCGTCTCCAACCTGTATCGCTTCTTCTCGTTTTCTTGAAACTAAAATAAAGCAGGTTAAATAAAACTGCACACATGTACGACTTTTTGTAAAGGGGAATTACCTTTTTCAACAAATTTCGCTCGTGATCGGCATCTGGTGAGCTAGCCATGTTTATCCTGAGGCTCTCTCGGAACATCATCTCCCTGGCTTTCATCTCGGACTTTATACGCTTGGGATGGGCCCTTTTCTCGATGGCCTGTCTCTTTATAAGGTCCTCTTCCTTGCGTTGGTTCAGCCTTTTCATATGTTCTAGCTCTTTATCATGCCTTATAAGCATCTAGAGCATTGAAGATTTTTTTTTTTTAATTTAGTTTTAAGTAGGAAATAAATTCTATAAGATTAAAATATTTTAACTCACTTGATGCCTCTGAAGGAAAAAGCTGTCCTTAAGCTGCCGTTTAGCTAGTTGGTGTTTATCGTGGATTTGCCTTTCTTCCAATTCCCAGAGCGCTGCTTCGCGGGCTCTCATTAACTATAAATTAATTTAAACAATTAGGATTTTAATAGTTTGGCAATTAATGAATTTTAAACCAATAATTTTGTACAATTTATAAGTAAACTTATTCCTGTGATATAGGAGGGGTTTTTATGTCTGAAAACCCATTAGGTATTGTGGACGAGGAGTCAGACAACTTTACAATATATTTATTATCAGTTCTATAGCCTAAAATTTATTATTTATTAATTAAATGCAGAAATAAAATCACCTGTTGCTTTTGCTGTAGAAATTGCCGATCCATCAAAGCGATTTTTTCCCTGTGAGAATCACTTAGCCGCCTAAGAGAAGTTTCATGGTTTTCGTTTAATTTTTGCAAGAAAAGCCGTTCCTAAAAGTGCGGTAATGTTAAAAACACCGTTACAAAACAATTAAACAAAAAGAAAATACCTTCTCTTCGTGCTCAGCTTCGAGTTTTTCCTTTCTGGTTTTGAACGCGTTCTTTCTTCTATCTTTGGGCATCAGATCGACCTCTTGTTTAAGCAAGCGCATCTCTTGTTTTTGGCTCTCGCGGAATTCTTTGAGCTCACGCTCCTGCTCTGCTCGGATCTTCTTACTCGTGAGCCGCAGGTCGGCTTCTTGCTGTTGCTCCGCCTTCTCGACCATCTGCCTCTGCTGTCTCGACTGCGTTTCAAGTTCGCTTTCATAACTTCGAGTCAAAGCAGTCCGTTCCTGCTCGAATTTCTTGTCCTGCTGTTCTTTTGCCATGTGGTTCTTGAACGCGATGTCTTGGAATTGTTTCTGCTCCTGTTTCTGAAGCATTTTCAACTCCCGGAGTTCTTGTTTTCTGTAATAGCTATTCAGTTAAAGGTTTTTTGCTTTCTACTGTTTTGTATTTGTGTGTTTAATCTACCTAAAAACATGGTCGTCGAAGCCTTTGCCATTCTCATCATCGCCGTAGATAACGGTGTTAGTTGTCGTCACCACCACAACACCGTCGATTTCAAATTTTCTAGTCCGTTTCCTGGTTTTTTTCTTAAGGTTCATTAACTCCAACTTCTCTTTTGATCGACTGTGCCTCGAATTTTCATTCTACAGGAAATGAAAATATAGTATACAATAATATAACTGAACATTATTATTGAAATTTATACATACCCTATCATAATCAGCCTTTGGTCTAAGAACAACTTCCCCGTCGTGTAACCTGCTCGGTCTGTTTTCCTTATTGCTTTCTCTACTGTCTTGACTAATAGTTGTAGATACACTTTCAGCATCAGACCTATTAACAATAAAACAAAAAGTATACATATCAGCTCATTTACTATAATATGTAAAATTTATTTTAAAAAAATACCTATCGAAGGTTCTAGTGCTTGCAGCAGAAGGAGGCGTCCTATTTCCTGTTGTTGATGCTGTATCGGACTGGGAGCTTGATCGTCCATGAGACATGGTTCTCTTGTGTCTATCCCCACCTCCATCAGCAATCTAAAAAAAGCACGATAAATAAAAAACAACCCAATAAAAACTCAATGCAAAGAAGAAAAACACACTTTTTGCATGTTTGTAGAATTGTTGACTATGATATAAACTTCTTCGGGTTCTGGAGGTATGGCAGGCTGGCCGTTTGGCCTGTGCGGTTTTTGCGGTGTGGTATCAGGCTCTGGAGTCGGTGTCCCTTCGACGATTATAGAAGTGCCACGGTTTGGATTGCCGACGATCGTTAACGAGTCTTCTTCTATAATAAAAACGAAAAAAATAACAGGATTAGCATGATAAGAGATAAAGGGATAAACTGTTTAAATACCATATAATGAATTCCAGCTGTCGCCACCGGCGCGGGAATCGACTACGCTTGTATCTCCGACTGTAATCACAGAAATGTGACTCGTATCATGATTGTCCTCTTCCTTGACATCCACGACAGGGCTCGACCTAACTACGACGACATCGTCCTCCTCGGAATCGACGAGTGTCTTGTTGTTTTCGTTCGACACGATGACAACCTGACTGCCGGCAGGGCTTTGAGAAGCGGGAAGCACAGGACTAGGCACATTCGGATGAACATGCAGAACAGGTGGATGGACTGTGGTTACAACGGTTATATTGCTCTCGAGCATATCCCTCGTCCTTGGTGGCTCCTCGTCTCCAATACGAACAGTCGTGGCCTTTTTATTATCCCCAGTTGAATCAACAACTAAATAAAAAATTATATTTAATGTGTGGTGATTAGTGACCGTTAATCAATAATTATTCAGAAATCGTGAGATGCAGTCTGGTGTGATGTAGGTTTTAGAATAACATTATCGTGCCAACGTTTCGATCTTTATTGAGATCATCTTCAGGGCCTGGGATTTATAAACATTGTTTAAATATTACAAATACATGTAGGATGTGAAAAAAGAAGAATTTATACAATGCTAGAAAATTTTAGATTAAAAAAAATGAATTTATACAATGCCAGAAAACTTTAGATTCAAAAAAATGAATCTACACACAGAATGCTAGAAAACCTTAGATTCAATCAAAGTAATTGTATTCACTCAAAGTGTTTTTTTTTTCAGTGTAGATGTGTCATTCATCGTGTTGAGAGTGCCAGTGAGATATTGCTGTTTTATGTTTATATACGTTGGATTTCGAAAGGGTGGGGAAGGAAGTCGGGAATAGAAAGACACTTTTATATAAGGAGTCGGCTTCTTTGAAGTGAAAGATTCATTTTTTTAATCTAAAATTTTCTAGCATTGTAATAAATTCATTTTTCCTATCCAAAATTTTTTCTAGCATTGCACAAATTCACTTTCGCATCCAAAACTTTCCAGCAGTGCATACATTTTTTTTCACATCGTACATGTATTTGTAATATGAAAATATTGTTTGAACATTACAAATACATGTAAGATCTGGAAAAAAAAATTTATGCAATGCTGGAAAGTTTTGGATGGGAAAGTGAATTTGTGCAATGGTAGAAAATTCATTGTTTAGTCTGGAGTTTTCTGGCATTGTGCAGATTCATTTTTTTGTATCTAAAATTTTCTGGCGTTGTATAAATTCTTTTTTTTTTAATCTAAAATTTTCTAGCATGTATAAATTCATTTTTTTAATCTAAAATTTTCTAGCATTGTATAAATTCATTTTTTTATATCTAAAATTTTCTAGCGTTGTATAAATTCTTCTTTTTTCACATCCTACATGTATTTGTAATATTTAACCAATGTTTATAAATCTCAGGCCCTGAAGATGATCTCAATAAAGATTGAAACATTGGCACGATAAAGAAAATGTTTTTCTGAAACCTACATCACACCAGACTGCATCTCACGATTTCTGAATAATTATATTTAATCATTTTTCTGAATTTTAAGATAAATACCTTTAGAATGAGGTGAAGGCTTGGCAAGGGCAGTAATGACTTCTTCGGACAATGGAGGAGGTGCAGGTCTTCTGCGATTCCGGTTGCTTGCTGATGAGCTTCTGGCTCGTGAATGTTCTTTCCAGCCGCCATTGATTTCTGTTGTTGGCATCATGGAAACGGGTCGTGCCCCGGGTCTTGGCCCTCGACTCCTATCCGTGCTTTCAACGTTCTCTTTAACCTGGTCAGGTCGCTCTGTCGGGATGATCACTTCAGAACTCCTTTCAACAGAAAGCGATCGCTTGCGACTATCCTTGGCCAAAGAAACCTGTAAACATTATTTAAAAATTAAATTAAATCGAGAAAATTTTAAAATATGAAAAATGACCGTACCGTCTCTTCATTCTGCTGTGAATGGTTATTGTCTACAAATTCGATGTTTGTCGGCCTAAAATCGATCGACGGCCTTCTCAACTGTGGCACAATGGGTTCTTCCTTCACATCCGTCGGCTCTCCCTCTTTGATCTCTTCTTTGATTTCCTTTTCTTTTACTGGAGGTACGATTGGTACTACAGGTACGGGTGGTGGAGTCGTTTCTTTAGGCGGCTCTTTAACAACAGATGGCGGTGGAGGTGCAGGTCCTTTGTCGTGCGATATCCTCCTTTCCAACACTTCATTCTTCTTGGCCATCTTTATAAAAATAATTAAATTAATAATTAACAGCGTCAATTGTATTATTTCTGATCTTACTTGTGGTGGTGCAGGTACAACGGCGGATTTTTTATCAGGCAAATTGTCTAATTTTGGTTTATTTTCTATATCTACTTCAGGTTTAACTCCGTCTACAGCTTCCTCAACTGAAAAGAAATTTTGATTAAATTTTTTTACTGTTTTGTAAATTAAGACAATAAAATTAATTTAAAAAAATAATAAAATAAAAACTGACTCTTAAGATCTGGATCAGACTTGATCGAAGCAGAATCATCTTCTCCATTGTCCAGATCCAGGGGAAGCTGAGATGTGCGCTGCTCCTATAAAAGAACAAAACAAAAAACCAGAACTTAACAAAAGTGGACCCAAAGGATTTAAGAGAGAGAGAAAAAAATAGAATAAAATAAATTGCAATTTTTTTTTTTTTTTGCTGCTATGGAAAAATCTACAAAAAGGCAAAATAATGTTACAGGCTAAGTGATTGAATGTGATTTTGAAAAGCATTTAAAACATAAATAAATAAAAAGTACATATTTCATCTTACTTATAATCAAATTCCTGCCTTATTAAGCCGTTTTCTTTAAACTTTGATTCATATGTAGCATATAAAACATGATTTGAATAAATAAATAAAATAAAATAAAAATTTTAAAAAATAAAAAACTAATACAATTCGAGATAAATTAGAAGATATTTCCACAGCTATGGCAAGACAAAATGGGTTTAGATTAGACACATGCAATTTTTTTTTCTTTCTTACAAAAAAGAACATGCAAAGGTTTAAATAAAATCTGTGGGGTCATACGGTGCTAGAGATAAAACCTTCTGGTGGCATTTTGTGTTGAAGAAAAGCGCTAGATACAGAAAAGGTGCTGCAGTACGGTCAGTCACTCGGAATCTGTACTATTGACAGCATGTCTATTCTTGAAAACAAACTATAGCATTGGCAGGGAAAAGCCCACGCCAGACTTTACGAGGAGAATGAAGTCCTGTCGTACACAAGTTTTGATAATTTATTTGAATTTATTCTGATGAACATTATTTTATTTATGTTATGCTGACACTGGCATCATGTTATGTAAAATTTAAAAAAAGGGAAACTTTTTTTTATCTCGGCTGATTTTTTGTCTCTCTATGAGCAGACTACCAAAACAAAAACATTGGAACAGTGAATACATACAACACATTTTTAAGTGAATAAAGAAAATTTTTTCATATTTAAGGATAAGAAAATATTAAGACTAGAATCATCACTGGGAAGAGACAATATCTTTTCTTTCAAGAAAAGTTTAAATAAAGTTGACAATGCTTCTTTGACACAAACACGAGCTGGATTGAGTTAAGGAAGGGTTGTTTGAAAATTTGACAATTCCAGCCTGAACATTCATGAAAAACAATTAATTAAGGTTTTAAGTTGAGATAAAAAAGTCAGTGTCACGATTGGGATTCGAACCCACGACCTTCGGCTTGATACGCCGCTACTCTACCACTTGAGCTATCGTGACTTCGATCCCCTCGGGCACTAACTTCCCATCTCAACCTCACCTTTTTGAATTTTCCCTCCTTTTTGCCATTTTTCAAATGTCGTGTAATCTATTTGATTCTCGGCAACAAGTGAAATGGCCATGGAGAGCTTTAATGAAGTATACTTCATTTTAATTCATTAAGTTCACTATTTTTCGTGGTCTGCTTGACCAATTAATATCATACAATTAATTAAGGTTTTAAGTTGAGATAAAAAAGATTAGTGCTTTTCCACTCCAAAGTCCAGATAGCTCAAGTGGTAGAGTAGCGGCGTATCAAGCCGAAGGTCGTGGGTTTGAATCCTGCTTGGGACACTGACTTTTTTATCTCAACTTAAAACCTTAATTAATTGTATGATATTAATTGATCAAGCGGACCACGAAAAATAATGAGATTCATGAAAAATTTACGCTTTTGCTCAACTTGATGACATGAGAAATGTATTATATGAATTTTAATAATAGATGGGAAAAAGGGATTCCAGTTAAAGCTGACCGTATCTGGTATGCAGATGGCTTTAAGACCCAGGATGGGTCAAGAGCTGATATCTTCGGAAATATACCAAGTATTAAAATTAAGTCTTAAATAAGCCATGGGCAATATGCCTCTGGCTTTCATGCGGAGACTGACTATTTTATTTAACAATGTGCTAAGGAGACCTAAAGGCTGGGTATTAACAACAAAAGAATAGTCATATAATCAGTCAGTCATATGGCACTAAAGGCAAGTACCTCATCGGTAGTAAAGTCCAGAGCTGTTTGGCTTGCATAAAGGTCCTGTCAGACAGTGGGATAATAAAATTACCCTTGTTTGGGTGGGTACAAGGGCACACAGAGGCTTATAAATTGACCAAGAAAATTTCGATGAGGACAGCTATCAGTCCTTAACACTTTAGTGGCATGCCAAATTGCTAAAAATTTAATCTATTGGACAGTGGTTGTAAACAAAACCTATGTTTAACATTTTCAACATGGCTCTGAACTTGGTTTACAGAAAATCTTTAAAAAATTCCAAAAGGTCAAATTGAAAAGTGGTCTTCACAGAAACGTTGTGAAAGCGATGCTAAAGGCCAGTTACAGCGAATCAATTCCAAAAATACACCCTAACACCCTACAACAAACTTCGAAACGGGGGGGGGGGATTTTCAAGAAGAGGTGCATCGTTCTGGAATGACATCTGAATAAGTGAAAGGTGCATCGTTCCAGAATGACAGCCCTAACAAATGCGTTAATGTTATTGTATTCCAGGACAGAAGCATGTGAAAATGTTCATCCATAGATTGTTGCAGAAACTAATGGCAGAACTAGAATTATAGTAAGACTGTTGATTGGACACTGCAGACAGAAGCTCGTGTATAAATTTAGAGCAGCAGAAACAAACTTGTGCAGATATCGCCAGGAAGAAGAAGAAACTACAGAGGTCTGTCCACGTCCTCCTGGGAGAGGAAAAACCCAGGCCTGAAAGGGACACAGGAGCCTTTAAGCTTTGGGATCAAATAAAAAAAAACCTTAAGCTTAAGGCTGCTCGTCCATTGGAACCGAACAACAACGGCCGTTCAACAACCGAACTATTTGACCAAATGGACAACCGGCAATATAGCCGAACGCCATCGTCCACTGTAGCCAATTTTCGTCAGTTCACGACACAGCCCAAATGGATGTAGAAAATTTGTTGCTACTCAAAAATTCTTAGTTTACATACAAATGGAATGAAAGAAATAAACAAAAATATTGGAAGTTCCATTTCTAAAGCTATCCTTGACCACAACTTATGCTGGATCTCTCCGTTGATAGAGTGGATCATGTCCCAAGAGCCTGCTCCTCAACCGCACTTATCAATTTTTCGCAATCCATCGAAATGAAAATGCAACGAAAAGGTAAGCCAAAAGCAAAGAACGGCGTTAAACAATGGTGAGTGTTTGATGTCACGTGGTTGACAGTTGAATTCGAAGTAACCATTCGGCCGAATAGGACTGGAAAATCCAACTTTATTTCGATCGGAAAGTGCTTTGGCCGTACACGGCCCAACACGACCGAACGAATTGGTTCTAATGGACACGTGCTCATTCGTTTCTTCACTTTTGGATCATCCGGCCCTATTCGGCTCCAGTGGACGGCCTACCTAAAGAAGAGTTCTAGATAGTAATGGAGAATAGACCAATATTGGTCGCGGTGGCTCAATTGTAACAAGGCAGACTCCTTTTAACCTTAATCTAAGCGTTAACAATATCCAATTAAAGAAAAAAACAAGCCTATTTTAGAATAAAATAAATGATGGTATACCACTTATACCAAAGCGCAATCGATATTTTTTGCTCTTACAGATTTAAAAAAATTTGAGTTTTTAGAAACTGGACAAAATGGCCTTGATACATTAGCCAAAGTACAATTTTGAGAAGTTATGAGGTGCCAGAAAATCATGTTAAATGCTAAAAGTCGATATGCTGCTCAATCTCAAACTTAAACCATGGTATTTTATTCTGGAAAAAATATGTTGCCCATGAGATAGATAACAGCGAAATAACCCTTTTAAAAAGTGCAATCAACATTTTCTTTATGTCCTTATAGACCGAAAATTAATTTGAGTATTTCAGTTCACAAAAAGTGTACAAAATGACCTTGTGTTTTCCACATTAGTCATATATGGTTTCGAATATATCATGGTCATATATCAGTCATACCATTATTTGAAGTTACAAAGGGTCAGAAAATGTCGAGGGGATCCCTCATAATTGTTTTTTTTTTAGTTAATAATATTACAATTGTATACGTTTGATATTAATTTCAGAAAGATTCCATCAAATACTGTCCTTCAACTTTTCTATCTAAATTAAATCATGGAAAAACAGCGTACCATTACAAATAACCTCCATGATAAGTGAAACGTACAATTGACTGGATGTATGATCGAAGGTTAATCCCCTGATTAACAGAAAAAGCACCTTCAGATTACGACCTTTTTATCAGAACAATTCGAAATCATGTAAACACAAAACTTTCCTGATTATTCAGAGATCATGAGATGCGGTCTCGTGTGATGTACATTTTTTAGATTTAAAAAAAAATTATACAATGATAAAAATTTTAAATCTAAACTTTTCTATCATAGTATAAATTCATTTTTTTTTTCAATCCTACATATAATTGTAAATTTAAACCATGTTTATAAATCCCAGGCCCTGAAGATGATCTCAATAAAAATCGAAACGTTGGCACGATAAAGAAAATATTTTCTAAAAAAAGGTTTTTTATTATTTTCTAAAGGTTTTTCTAAAATCTACATCACACCAGACCGCATCTCACGATCTCCGAATAATCATTGACTAAGGTCACTAACCACCACACAAAACTTTTATATTGATGGAATAATTTAAAATTGTTTTACATGTTTTTTTTTATAGTTTGGATAAATCTATTTTTTATTTAAATAATTATCAATATTTTTTTTAATTATGTTATCAATATAACATGTATTATTGAAAAAAATATTTTAAAAATTATCGTAACGATAAGTATGAGTGGTTGGAGCATCTAACTCATATTCACCACACTAACAGTTTTGGGTTCAAATCCTGGCACAGATCATGGTATTTTAATTGAAAATATAAAAAGTAAAGTGGTTTTCCCTTGTCGTTGAAACCCAACAGGTAGTTTTGGAGTCTCCTGTATGACAGGTATTACTTTCCTTTATGAAAAATATGTCCAAGTGATTTCGATAGCTTCTTTGTTTCTATTAGGTTGTAATGATATTTTTTTTTAATTAATTTTTTTAATGGGATTTTAAGTTTATTTATTCAATTTCAAGGGTTCACTCCTCATAAAGTCTGGTGTTATGTCGCTTTTGCGCCATTCTCAAAAAAATAAAGAAGCTACAATGAATATGAATTGTCGAGAGTGATTCTGCATTTAATTATTAAATTTTATCGTCACCCCTTTTCGCACTTACCTACTCTCTGATACTGTTCCCTGTGCTTTTTCTGTCTCCTACCTCGCTATGGTTAGAGTTTGCGGAAAGCATGTAAACAATGCAAAAGAATATGGTGCGCTTTCAGCAAAAAAGACAATGGTTGGTTAATTGTGTCGAAGGGAATTCCTTTACTCTCTCTCTCCAAGAAATTGGAGCAAAACGAAAAAAAAATGTATGGGAGGGAGATATTTGAAACATTTCGAGAGAAAATAAAAAGAGGGGTTAGTCTCTGAACATGGCAAAACAAAATGTGTGAATACAAACTATTATATACAAAATATACATATACCAGCAAATCTCTACTTACATTTCCTTTCTATTTAAAACTACAAATTAGTTTTTAAATTTGAGCGTTAGTTTTGAAAATGTTAATATCTTTCTATCTCATTTTCCCCCAAAACATGCAAGAATTTATACTTTTGATTTTTTTTAAAAACTTCAGATTAGTGTAAGTTATTGTTATTATGTTAATTAATAATTATAAACACTGATTGTTATACTTACATCAGCTTCATCATCGATAACTTCTTCAACTACTTCAGCCTTATACTCAAGAAGTAAATCCCTAACAGGTTTTGAATCTAATTCACCACTAATAAAAGGAAGCTGAAAAGTATGAATAATATTATACAACCATGACTAAACTTGAATAATTATTTAGAAAAAAATTATAATTTAAAATTACCGTAAGTAAATAGTCTACATTTGGCCTTTGTGTCGGGTCTTTGACAAGTGTCTTAGAAATGAAATCGTTAAAGTTTTTGGACCATTTCGATGGTTGGTCCAATTTGGGCGGATCGGATTTCTGGATTTTAAGGAGGACCCTCATCGGAGACATCTCATGGTTTGGAGGCTCCATTTGAGCGAATTCTATAAGCGTGATTCCAAGAGACCATACGTCCACCTGGCAATAACATGAGAGAAAAAAATAAAAATCCTTTTTGTTTTATGTTTTTCGACAATTCAAGCGCTTACTTTAAAGTCATAGGGATTGTCCCTGAAAGTCTCACAAAGCACGACCTCCGGTGCCATCCAATATGGTGTGCCTATGAATGTGTCGTGCTTTTGGAGTGTCGATTTGTTTTTAGCGGAAACTCCGAAATCGGCTGGAAAATTATAATTATAAAGTAAGAATAAAATAATCTTATTATTAAATATTAACACATACCCAGTTTGACTCCACCCGCCATCGTTAGGAGCACATTACCAGCTTTCAAGTCTCGATGGATGACTTTATTGTGATGTAGGAACGAAAGGCCCTGGCACATTTGCTGACAGACGTAGGCAATCTGTGGTTCAGTCAGAGGTTTTTCAAGCTCGACCATAATTGAGTCCAAAGCGCCTCCGTCACAATATTCTATTAACATCTGCAAAGGCAAAATTCAATGTGTAATTACTTTTTTTTATATAAAAAAAACTATTTAAAAAAATAATAATTACCCATAGTTTACTATTGGTAAAGAATGCTTCGTAGAGCTGGACTATGTTTTCATGCTTGCATTCAGACAGGATGTCTATTTCAATCATAAAATCTGAAAGGTCGTCTTCACCTTCCAGAAGGCACATTTTCGCAGCAGCAAGGGCATTGGTACTCTTTGACTGGGCCTGAAAATAAAATTATGAAATTGAGTCGCAGTTTGCCTAAAACTATCCACAATACACAAAACTTATTTAATGACTGCTGCTTGTTACAATGTTTTAAATGATATATGCAGTAATAAAACGGTAATGAATACAATAAAAGAATTCACTAGTTTTCGTGGTCCGCTTGACCAATTAATATCTTTCAATTAATTAAGGTTTTTAGTTGAGATAAAAATGGAATTGAAAAATGGCAAAAAAGGAGGGAAAATTCAAAAAGATGGGGTTGAGATGGGAAGTTAGTGTCCGAGTGGATTGAGGTCACGATAGCTCAAGTGGTAGAGCAGCGGCGTATCTAGCCGAAGATCGTGGGTTCGAATCCCTCTCATGACACTGACTTTTTTATCTGGACTAAAAACCTTAATTAATTGAAAGACAATAAAGAATGTCAAAATATAAAAAAAGTCAGTTTTTTCAATCCAGATCATCGTATTTGAAAATCTAGGCCATTAAAAAAAAAAAAAAAATAATAATAATTTATGTAATCGGATAATAAAAGAACTCTTAATATTGTTAAAAGCTTTTTAAAATTATTAATAGAAAAGTTTTTCTATGAATTCTTAAGAAGCCAGATAAACTCCAATAATACTGCTTAGTTTTAGATTTTAGGTAACATCGTCAAAATGAAATATTTTAGTTCCATTATTAGGTTGAATTTTTATCCAAATAATACTCTGTAATTTTTACACAATAGCCTTTTCAAAATTATCTCTTGTTTACGCATTGTCTTATCTCCCCACATGTTGAAATTTGTAAGAGGACAATTTCCTGCCCAGGAATAAAAATAATAGGCATGCCTTAACTTTTGGCAAAATCCGAGTAATGACTTCACCTGAGCTATATTAGAAATGATGTCATACGCAAAAGAATGTGGGAGCTTGCTGCAATTTGCTCGAACGCTATGGTATAATATGCAGTTTTATAATTGGCGAAAATTGAAATGAATTCTCGGAATATCTTCTTGATAATGTTTATTTATCGCCAATTCCTGCCAAATGCTGTATCATTCTGTTTCATTTCCTAACAAGCGTGAGGAAAACGATGAATAAAACATTTTCAACTATGCATAAACTTTGAATGAAAGTAAGAGCTTTTCAGGCCTTTAAATTGTTTTCAATAATGACCCTTTTGTGCGGTGAAGCATCCCTGAAATGCAATCCTGTCAGTTTATACATTCTTTCCTTTGTTAGAGAGGGATTATTCCACTGTGAGAAAGTGAAAAATAAGAGTAGAAATTGGTTTAATTAGGATCACTTGATCAATGGGATGTGACTGTTTTTTTTAAGTCTTCAGACAGGCCTTGGAACATGTTTTTCCAATAATTTAATTTGTTTGAGTTTAATATGAACATTTCTCATGCCTCCATCTAAATCCATGCTAGTACTAATAAAGAAGTAAAAAAGAATTTTAATTTAAAATTATTATTGAACTAAATTTTATAAATGTTCATAAATTATGATTTAAATAAATTTCAGAACTAGTGTTATAAAATCAGCCAAAGGAAGAAGAACATTGCTAAAATTAACAGATCAAAGGGGGAAAAATCCTCTCAAAAGTATGAAGCAGCAATGAAAATAAATCATTCAATCTATCTCTATTTAGATCGAACCATTCTACGGCCCAACGGAAGCCGTATCAACTTAACAAGAGGAATCGCTCATGAGCTCGATTTTCTATTTTTAGTAAAATGTTTATCTCAAATGCCCGTCTAATGTTTAAATAGACCCAGGGAAATACACAATACACCGTTATAATTATAAGGCCAAAGATAAATGAGTGACCTCAGATTGCATAAAACAATTCTCGTTAATTAAAAAAAGAAAAAATCCCTCGTTTATTGATAGTTCGAATGACAGAAATAACGTGGATCACATGAGAAATGTTGTTTTTACTGCCAGTTGATGTTTTATTGTTACACTTTATGTTTACAGTTGATTATTCATCGTATGAATTAATTAAAATTAAATCATAGCAGTGCATTATATAATTATTAAACATTAATTTAACAATTAAAGGGAAAAAGACCATTGGGTTTGAAAGATTTCACGATATTCAATAATGACAGGATTGTCTTGATTCTTAAAACCACCTTTTTACGGATTTGTAGAGAGATAGTATGGCTAGCACAACCTCAATTTCTGTTCGACTGTATTACATATGTACAATACATGTAGGGAGGCCGCAGTAGCCGAATGGTTAAGGCGTCAGACTCTCGGCTAGTAGATCCCGTGATCGTGGGTTCGATCCCCACCGTCGCCTCTGGACTTTTTCTTACGCCTAAGGGGACCGGTGGCCGCAATTGAAAGAAATTGACACAGCACTCATCAATGGAAGGAGCGGGATCAGATCTCAGCGACCCTGAATTTGGTTGCAACCCCCTTCAAAAATGAGTTTCTTCGATGGAAGAACACCGGCACACCGGAGGCTCAAATTCACACTTGTGTTGCGAGCCCCCAAAAAATGGAGCCAGGGATAAAGTACAATAAGCTGTACAGCTGCAGTGCTCAGGGGGGAATTCCTCCAGTTACTGGTATCCATTGTTTAAAAAAAAAAAAAAAAAAAAGTCAATGCTGGCACAATATAAAGGATTACGGGGCAAGGTCTCACTGTTTAAGGCAATGTGATTGGATTTCAAGATAGTAAAGCGCAAATAAGGCTTGGGAAGTAGAGTTAGGATTGATCGAAAACGTGTCGTAGTGGATCAATTCATTGACAAAAGATTGAGGTCATTGTGAATAATGAATTTTCATAGTGAAGTTTTGACGATTTGTCTTGAGGACTTTTGTCGTAAGGGTTGAATGCGATGGATATCGGATGGCTTGGTGGAATCCTACATTCCACTCCGTTCGATTTGGTCAAAGCAATGTCTATTTGACGGTAAAAACAGATTTCAGTTCTGAAAGTCTTCGTAGTTGTCTAAATAAGTTGTCTTAAGTCTAGTGTAGGGATTCCTCCTCTGCCTGCTGTCTAGGTATTAGGTAAGTGTACTGACTTTGATCAAGTCAGCAGCTCCTCCTTGTTGATGCATAGCAAACGTCAAAATTGTTTTTTCAATGTAAATGGTACCCTTGGTACATTTTCCTCTTTCAGTCTTCTCCTCCACTGTTTACACAAATCTTTTATAAACTCAAGGTGATATGGATGTTGGAGGTTGTTTAAATAGTGTTATTTCAATTTATTTATTTTTTTGATGAGGGTATTTCAACTATGAGGTTATATGAACCCTCGGTGAGCCGGTTTTTTCAATATCTTAACAGTTGCAGCCACTAATGCCCCAATAGGCCCAAGTTAGGAAGACTAAATGGAATGTCATCATGATGGAGTTGGAGTGAAAAGGCAATCAGCAGTGTAAATGGAAGACAGGATGGCACTAAGAATGCTTCCTTGTAAGATGCCGGCTTGACGTCTGTTAAATAGGATTCCAGGTTAAAATAAAATAATAATAGCATTATTGCAATATGAAATATGCAGTAAGCATTTAAGTTTTTAAAGATTGCCTAGGTACCAGACCCCATCAAAAGCCTGGGCCACATCCAGGAAATCATATTCTTTGTTCACTTGTTCGCTAGAGAGAATGAAATGGAAGACAAATTACAAGAACACCAAGAAATTGAAGAAGTGGGTTGCATGAATTTGTAATTTTTAAAATTATTGTCATTAATTTTGTACCTCTTTAAATGCATTCCAAGGAGCTTTCTGGCACAAATGTATAATCATTGGCAATAATTAAAAATAATAACAATTATCACTATTAGATGAGCTGAAATGTTTGAAATGAGTGGTTAATGCTGTGCCACTTTCAAAATACTACTCGAAGCCTTCAGACTCAAATAAACAACAATTAGCAATAATTAAAAATATATGTTTACAAATATATACTGAAATCATTTGTAAAGTTTACAATTTTGTGCTGCATGGTAAGTAAACATTTTCTGTAGCATTAATTAAGGTTTTTAGTTGAGATAAAAAAAGTCAATGGCACAAGCGAGATTCGAACCCATGATCTTCGGCCAGTTACGCCGCTGCTCTACCACTTGAGCTATCGTGACCTCGATCCACTCAGACACCAACTTCCCATCTCAACCCCACCTTTTGAATTTTCCCTCCTTTTTGCCACTTTTCATCTCAACTAAAAACCTTAATTAATTGTAATATATTAATTGGTCAAGCGGACCACGAAATTAATGAAATTAATGATTTAAAATGAAGTACACTTCACTAAAGCTCTACGTGGCCATTTCATTTGTCGTCGAGAATCCAATCCGATTACACAACATTTGAAAAATGGCAAAAAGGAGGGAAAATTCAAAAGGTGGGGTTGAGATGGGAAGTTGGTGTCCGAGTGGATCGAGGTCACAATAGCTCAAGTGGTAGAGGAGCGGCATATCTAGCTGAAGATCGTGGGTTCGAATCCCGCTTGTGCCAATGACTTTTTTTATCTCAACTAAAAACCTTTATTAATTGGTCAAGCGGACCACGAAATTAGTGAATTTTCTTTAGCTTTCAAGCTCATACGTACAACAGTAATAATAATTAATTAATCTTTTTATGTAAGTTATTGGATGAAATGAAAAAGTTAGTGTCACAAGCAGGATTCGATTTCAACCAATACCTTACATAAAAAGATTAATTAATTGAAAGAAGTTATTTGGCCAATCGGACCACGAAATATAGTAGAAATAATAATAATATTATAATAAATAATTTTGATTAATTAAAATTTGCCCGTGACACGTTTTTCATCTCAACCCTGACCTTACATAAAAATAATAATTAATTGAAATAATTAAAATGATCAATTAGACTTCTAAACATAAATGGAGTAATAAATAATATTAATAATCCATATATGTATTTAGTAGTCATAATAGAGCGTAATAATTATTTAAATTTATTATTCTTTTTATCTAAGGTCTTTGTTGAGATGAAAGGCCAAGGGTTCGAATCCCGCTCGTGACACTAGC